GTAGCTCTTCCACAGCTTCATCAGACCACACTTTGGAGCTCCTCACTGCAGGTTTCGAGAGCTTTAGTCTCTGTCTGTAAGCAGGAACCAGATGTATCATGGAGTGATCTGAGAAGCCGAGGGCTGGCTTGGGAACAGCGCGAAAAGCTCCGCGCACGGTGGTGTAACAGTGATCCAGAGTGTTCTCCTCTCTGGTCGGGCATTTGATAAACTGTCTGTATTTGGGTAATTCCTGACTCAAGTTTCCCTTATTAAAATCCCCCAGGATAATAATCAGAGAGTCCGGGTATAAGCGTTCCATACACAGTACTTGCTCTGCGAGTGCGCGCTGAGCCTCGCGCGCGTCCGCGCATGGCGGTATGTAAACAGAGGCAAGAATGAATGAAACAATTTCCCGCGGGGAGTAATATGGTTTACAATGAATGAAAAGATATTCCAGAGCAGGAGAGCAGTGCTTGGAGATCACTGTCACATCGTTACACCAGCTTGTATTGACGTAGAAACAGAGCCCTCCGCCTCTGCTCTTCCCTGAGAGCGCACAATGGCGATCCGCGCGAAACAGCCCAAAGCCCTGCAGCTCCAGAGCGCAGTCCGGGATCCGCTCATTTAGCCAGGTCTCAGTGAAGCAGAGGACACAGGATGTGGCGAAGTCCTTGTTTCTTCTCATGAGCAGGCTGAGTTCGTCCATCTTATTGCCCAGTGAGCGTACGTTGGAGAGAAAAATGCCGGGGAGAGCCGTGCGCGCTCCTCTCCTCCTAAGACGCACGAGCAGGCCTCCTCGCTTTCCCCTTTTACGGGCCCACACTTTTTTGGCTAGAACATGAACTAAATCAGCCGCAGATGCCAAGAAAACAGGCAATAGGTCCATGGGAACGGTGGGTCGGATGTTCATAAGTTCCTCACGGGTGTAGGAACAGCCAGATGCACAGTTAAAAAGTAAAAACAAAAGAAAAAGAGAGCAGCAAAGAGCCATGTCGACCGTACGAGGCGCCATCTTGAATGCATTTCACGCTCATTGACCGAACCTGAAATTACTATCTTGTCATTTAAATATGACAAGCGAGACAATACTTCCATTCCCCTCATGTTGCTCAGTAGCTGCTTTTGAGTCTGTAATTAACAAATGTACAGGCTTTTTCATCGTAGTCCTTGTGCTTGTCTTGTGATGTGAAGCTAAAGACACATTGTTCTCTGTGCTGCATCTTCTCAAGGTTTTCATTTTGTTTTGAAGTTGTAGAACAGAAAAAGAAGTCTTCCTCTTCTGGTGCAAGTCATTAAAATTACCAACACGAACTGAAACTTTAGCTTTTCGTCCTCCTCACTGTCATCTCTTATAAGACAGTAATAATATTTATACCGCTGCAGTCAGAGATGACAACAAACCTGGAATTTGTGATGCAGACGCGCACAGCCTCCACCGTCTCCTCTGTTTGCAGTTAAAAAGGTCACTTGTAATTTCCACTGCCAAATCACACACCGCTATTTCGCTGGCAGGGCCTCCCAACATTAGAGCGTGACCTTTTTAGTGAGGAGATCATCCCCGTTTCCCCAAACAAAATGACTTGTTAAAAACTTCAAAAAGTGTGGTGTAAGCAGGTTTATCCAGAGAGATAAAGGAAAAACGAAGAGAGATGAGTTCGGGAAGTAGGCAAACTGTTTTCACTGACCTTGCCCCACGCCCTCCGCTCTCTGGACTCCCTCTAGGGGTGTTTAGCTGGGGTCATAGGTCACCTCCTGACTGAAGCATGCCCCAAGGATGAGACTTCACAGACAGTGGGATGATTATGAACTACAAGCCCAGTGTAAAGCCTTCAGTTAATTACAGTATAGCCTCTGGATTATAATGCATGATTCATATAGGGCTCGGATCTACAACGCTGACAAGTATGCATCGGATTTAGAATAGTTGTAAAGTATGCAAAAGATAACATGTTTTTAGTAGGACAAAGAGGGCATGTTGTGGTCTGATTTATGTATCAAATTTTACTTTTAGAAGACGGTTCTCTGTAGTGGGATTTATACTGCAGAAAATGATGAAAAATAAGTCAAAAATTGCTCAAATTTGGCGAAATGTATCTTAATTTGAGCACGTTTTGCCAATGGGACAAGAAAAATGATATTGTTTTAACCCTTTATCATTCACTCCTCTTGTATGTAGAGCCTTGTATTTTTTTTCTCTTTTTTGGGTTTTCTACGATGAAGGAGCACTAATAAGTGTAATAACTGTAGGAGGACTAATAACACTCTTTTTTTTAAACTATATACATTTTTTTATAATAGGCCTTTACCAAATGGTTGTGGTGCAGTTGGATGATAAAATTGCCTAAAACCAAGTGAGATGCCCCAGAAAGTTTCAAGTGAATACAGTGATCCACCAAATGGTTGAGGAGGCCATTAAAGGGTTTAAAGGATACAAGAAATGTCTCCCTTGGAACGAGAACATATAGCAACGGTTCATGAAATAAGACTTAACGGCTTTGTCCCATTGGCTAATCTTGTTTTAAGGGACCAATATGTAAAAATATGGCCAAAAGTGGAACTGGAACCTCTTCCACTCTCTCCGACTCAGTTTGCCAGCTATGCAGACGAATCCAGCTGGGACCATGAAATCTGAATAGACAAGAGTTTTTTTAAATCTATAACCAACACCTTTTTTGCAAAGGCCCCGATAGAAATCCTCGTTTTAGTCCTTGTTTTTTTGTTAATCATTTGAGAATCATAACGAGACCTTTTTTAGTTCTGCGCCCACATATTACTTTAGCAGTGAGATTTGCTTGATGCGGTGAGATCTGGCAACCCGGATCATGGACTTACTGATTTGTAAAACGGTGGAGGGCGGGACATCCAATTGAAAACAATAACAAGATTTAGGGGCTTTACAACAAATTTTGAAAATCTAATATCTTGGCTGAAGATATTCAGTTAAAGAAGTAGAAGAGCATGAGAAAAGCATGGTTCATTAATGCCTTTTGACAAACAGTATTAGCCATTTTAGCGCCATTTAATGATGACTTGACATGAAAATCTTAATATTGCTACTTTAAGACAGTCAGGCCGTACTCAAATTCCGATAAAAACCACTCGATTCACGCTTTTCTTTCCTCATATTTTATAATTTTGTTTGGAAGTGTAACAGGTTGAGAGTTGGGTACCTCACCTTTAAACTATCCTTAAATCTCTTGAGCTCGTGTGCGACTCTCGTTCCTTTCCTCGGCTACTGAAAAGCAGCGGCACATATCCACTGCTGAGTCACGTTTGGCGGGGGGTAAAACGTGCCCTCTGGCAGCGCTCCGGAGCCTGGTCGCCCCACTGTTATTGCCAGTTCAGCTGAAGAATGACGACTGGGTGAAGAAAACCGCATTCTCTCAAACTGTGAAGCCTTTTCTGTGGAGATGGAGTTTTTCATCTCGCTCCATGACACATTCCCAGATCCCCCCGATCGGCCTCTCGCAGTGGGATGTGAGAGCATAGGCCACAGCCACATGAACTGGACTCTGAAACCTCTTGCTTTTTTCCACCAAAAAACCTCACCATGCCTCGACTCTGAGAACATGTTTCTAATTTGAGGTTGTTTTCAGAGCTATACTTTTTTCCGACGGGACGAATACTTTCCTGGATTGGATAGTTAGAGGCTTAGGGACACGGCATTGTACTGGATTGTAGTAGGAGACCACAGAAACATTGAAAACAGTGGAACACATCGAATTACTTAGTCTCATACAAAACATTCCCCTGCCACTAAAAATATGTACAATAGGTCTGGCATGCGCCTCCTGTTCGGCGACCCCGCTCCCATCTCTGTGTGGAGTGAGAGGACAAGTGCTCAAAAAATAACAATTGTAAACCGCTTTGTGACTCTGGTCTGTGAAAGGCGGTATATAAATAAAGCTTACTTACTTACTTACTTACTTACATTCATTTTCATTTTCTTCCCCTTAATCCATTCCTGGGTCGGGGGGGTGTCAGTCAGAGCTGCATCCAGTACACTTAGCACCAGCCCCTCACTGATCCAGGTGAGTGAGTCCACAGGAGCCAAGATCATACAAAACATGCGATATTAAATAGGGAATTCATATTTGTCTTGACTAGTATTTTATATTTCAGATTTGCAAGGGATATATATGCATGTCATTATTTCAATTTCTCACATTTCATGGCTTGAAATAAGTCCAATTATTTCTATTTATCCAGGCAAAAACTATTTCACACTAAAGTCAACTTAACATCAATTGTCAACATTAGTGTGAACATTTGATACTCTGATGAAGACAGTCCTTTTCAATTGGCTCGGCAAGTTTTTTTTGTATAGCACAATTTATACACAGCGCTGCAAAAAATGATAAAAAATTAGAGAAATATTGCTGTAATTGAGTGTGTTTTCTTTGACGAGTACATTCTGACTGTCTTTAAACAAGATTTTCTAAAAGGGACAAAGCTATTTAGTCGTATTTCACGAACCGTTGCTTTATTTTCTCATTTCACGGGAGACATTTCTCACATCTTTTTAAAACAAGATCATTTTGCTTGTCCTATTGGCAAATATTATTTTAAGGCAGTCAGAATATGCTCAAATTAAGATGTTGTCAAATTTCAGCATTTTTTTCAACTGATTTTTCATCACTTTTTGCAGTGAAGACAACTCAAAGATAGAAAACATTAAAATCACAAATAATCACAATGAATAATTAAAAATAATCATTCATTATTATTCTATAAGTCAAAATGATACACCCACCTAATAGAATAGACGCCTGAATATCCCCCGTATATTAACCTGTATTTTGCTCACCATATACATACATACAGTATATATTTTCTTCACGTGTAGATCCATCCAATTTCCGCCGGTGATCCGTGCAGCCTGAAACCACAGGGACATGTTTGTGGACCGTCTGTGACACACTGACACAGTTTGTTGTTTTACCCGACAGGATGTGCCGCTTCCTGAATTAGATGTTTGTCCGAACTATTTGCTGACTTTTGACATGTGACCCCCGCAGATGGACAGCCTGGAGGCCATCGGGGAGGAGATCAGCGGCATGGCGAGATGTCCGTACGACGCCAAGCACGCCAACGTTGCCCTCTTTGCCAGTGAGTTTACGTTAAATTAAACGTGAAATATACGTCAATGTTTAAGTGGTTCTATAGCTCTATTGTCTGTGGATTTTTACGATATAGAAAGGAAGATGGAGTCCTCATTATACAACAGCAGGGTTTTAATATGAGTCTATAAACGCTACAAGGGAAATTAATACCTCTCATTTTGGCTATCTGCTCTTAATAGACTCTTGAAAATGTTTTAGTCAGATGAGAAATGTGAAGTGCATCTGAATCTGGGGGATTATCCACGGTTGCATTTGATATTGTTCTTAATACCCATATGGTTTATTTTAATGGCAGCTATTAGATCAAAAATATCACATTGACTTGCTCAAAAGAGAGAAGAAAAAAACATTGTGGCAAAGCCTTGAATGAAATGAATGAAGAAATATTTATTTAGGGCCATCAAAACATATAATGAGACTATTAATGGTGTATTTGTGAAGTTAAATCTTAAGTAGGCCATAAATGAGATTGAAGGGTATCAAAATATACACACACATTCTCACTGCAATTGCCTATGGAATTGAATTTGCTTTGTGTTTTTACATTTTAGAAAATTACCAGCTGCAAACACGGCCAAGTTAGAATTTAATGTCCATTGAGCAATACTTTTGTTTTAAAAGGCAGAAAATTACTATGAGTGTCTTTTGGTAAAATAACATTACAATATTACAGGACAGAAAGGAGGGTTACATTAGAAGAAGCCAGAAGGTCCTTATGTTATCATGGATTGGTCTGGTTTTTTTGTATGTGTCATCTTTCAAACTAAAGTCCTGTTTCACACTGGATCATAAAAATAGCCCTCGGACACAAACCAGATATTGGTCGGCGGGAGATGACCACGAAAGCTGCTAAAGACATTCCCACCGCACTGGTATCGCCTGTGAAACGATTTATGGGGCTATTGATGAGCTGTCCGAACAAGTTTACGGCAGCAGAGGAGAGGGACGTAACTGCTTAGTGCACTAAAGAACATTTTGCCAACAGCGCTGGAAGAACTGAGTGGACACGGCCTCCCTCGCTGCTATCCTTTCAATTATATCGTCGGAGTTTCCATTGTGGTCTGGGCTGAGGTCATGGTGCTGCCGGGTTCTGCTCTGGTGTTGAGGCTCGAGACCATGACGGATGTTTTGAAGTGTGTTGTTCAAAGAGACTAATTATACTGTTGTTTGTGCCGTTGGTATGGTTTGATGGGATTCACGTTTTTTTTTGTCTATGTGCTGCATAAACTTGGCAACAAACGGTCGCAGCAACAAGGGTGATTCAGTTGTAATGGGCAGGTCTCGGTCTCGTTAGTGGGCTTGCAAATTTGACTTGAAGTTGCGTTGCCGTAATCTTCTTTGTAGAAGAGAACAGGGCAGAAGCCAGTTTAGGCCACATACTGGTCAGGTCTGTGTAGAATGAGAATAGGAGGGAATGTCACCTTCTTTGTCTGCGTCTTGTATGTGTCTCGTCTGTTTGTCCGTGTGTCTTGTCTATGTGTGTGTCTTGTCTGTGTGTGTCTTGTCTGTTTGTCTGTGTGTGTCTTGTCTGTTTGTCTGTGTGTCTTGTCTGTGTCTGTCTTGTCTCTGTGTCTTGTCTGTTTGTGTGTTTGCGTCTTGTCTATGTGTGTGTCTTGTCTGTGTGTGTCTTGTCTGTCTGTGTGTGTCTTGTCTGTCTGTGTGCGTCTTGTCTGTGTGCGTCTTGTCTGTTTGTCTGTGTGCGTCTTGTCTATGTGTGTGTCTTGTCTGTTTGTGTGTTTGTGTCTTGTCTATGTGTGTGTCTTGTCTGTTTGTCTGTGTGCGTCTTGTCTATGTGTGCGTCTTGTCTGTGTGTGTCTTGTCTGTTTGTCTGTGTGCGTCTTGTCTATGTGTGTGTCTTGTCTGTGTGTGTCTTGTCTGTTTGTCTGTGTGCGTCTTGTCTATGTGTGTGTCTTGTCTGTGTGTGTCTTGTCTGTTTGTCTGTGTGCGTCTTGTCTATGTGTGTGTCTTGTCTGTGTGTGTCTTGTCTGTCTATCTGTGTGTCTTGTCTGTGTGTTGTTTTTATTTGTCATTGCCATTTGTCAAGAGTTGTCAGGCCTTGAAATAATGCAAATAAATACAGTTTAAAAAAAATAAGTTACTGGTAGGAGTAAGAGCCGTAAAAACACCCATGGTTATGCATCCCAGGAAACAGGCAAGGAAAACAATAAGATTAGGCAGTGTACTTCTAACCAAATAGATCCAAATATTCAAGCATTTGAGGGGAAGACAGTTCTTTTTTGTTCTAACTGTGTAATATATTTAATTTACCTCAAGTACTCAACCTCCCCCACCCCCCTAAGCTAAAAAACACACACACACACACACACACACACACACACACACACACACACGCACACAAAAACACAATTGTGCTTGTATAAAACGCCCTGTAGTTTGTTACGTCTTCTTTTGTTATTGTTATTCTCTTTTGGGAATACCACCGTTAAACTTGTACCTAAAGGCTTATAACTTGCTTATGTGAGTCAGAAATAAAAGTTTGAATTCGAGCAAACATGTGGTGAACTTCATCTGGCAGGCAGGGCTTTATCACTCTGGGATGTCCAGGGTTTTGTCTTAACAATTGACTAGAGAACAGAAGTGACACATATAGTTAGTTAGACATTTAAAAACAAATATCAAATAAAAAAGCTTGTGTTTTTGATGACATCTCTGCGATCGTTTTATGATAATAAAAATAGTAAATAAAAATATCAAAAATAATAATAAAAAAAGGTTCAAGACAAGTGTTTTTGATGACATCTCAATGAGTCATCTCAAAGTTGTTCTGTCAAATACCTTGATCCCCTGCTTATTCAGGGATATGACTGGCTTTAGGGTTGAGGGTGACCTTTGCGAAAATATTGTTTGGCAATAGGAGAGATATAATAGGAGTTAATTGATTAGAACATTAATTGCATGTAAATACGTTAGAGAAGCTGGAGGAGACCGCTCTCTTGTAAAGAAACAAGAATTTTTGGTTTCCTTTTGCGCACCCTTTTGACCTGGCTTTGAAAATTAAGATTGTTGTCAAGAATTATTCCAAAGTAATGTGTATCTCACTGCAAAAAAATGATACAATATGAGGTAATAATTGCTTGAACCGAGTGGGTTTTTAATCTTAATTTTAGCACATTCTGACTGTTTTAAAACAAGATTTGCCAATGGGATGAAGCCATTTATTTTCTTATTCCAAGGGAGACATTTCTTGTATTTTGTAAGATCATTATGTTTGTCCCGTTGGCAAATCAGAATGTTTGCCAAATTTAACCGTATTTTTGTTTTATTTTTTATCACTTGTTTGCATTGCTCTAACTTCTTTGATTCACTTCTATACATACTTTGAACATTGCTAGAAGACCGTGCTTTAATAGAGAAACAAATGCAAACTGTTTTCTTAGCACTTAAGAGCTAATTGAGATTTGCTGAAACCATTACTTGATGTAGTCCATTACTTCACTTCTTTCCAACTTATTTACTCTTCCGACTCTCGTCCTTCCAGATGGCAAGCTGTACTCCGCCACCGTAACGGACTTCCTGGCGATCGATGCGGTCATCTATCGTAGCCTAGGAGACAGCCCGACTCTCCGCACTGTCAAGCACGACTCCAAATGGCTGAAAGGTGAGAGCGGGACATACAAACAGAGAGGCTGTGGTCAGAGGGATGATGAGGACCAAAACAAACAGTCCTCGCTCCGACCACGACTCGGAGTTTCTCTTATTTATGACTCAGGACTTGTTTGTACAGAGTCTACCGCATGTAGCTGCGCCAAGGAGAGAGCGCGTCATCTGCCTTTTGCATTAAGTTTGCGGACGGAGCAGCACGCAGGCCTGTCACAGTAGTGTTGACCAGGAAGGATTGCTTTATGCAGTTTGATAATCGATTTGTGTGGGTTGGAAGTAGGTGGAATAAGAGCGTTATTGTAATAGGCAAGGCAAGGCAAGGCAAGTTTATTTGTATAGCACAATTCATACACAAGGAAACTCAAAGTGCTGAACAATAGCGTTTAAAAGTCATTGAACCTGATGCTCAATGTTGTTTAAAGTATGTTTTGTAAGATTTTTCCTGTTTAAACAAAAAACAGAGACTCATGGTGCTGATTAGTCCATTCAAAACTATTATTACTGGTTTTAGTGTAGATTTGTTGAGATAGAAATGTTGTTCTTGTTTTCTGAAAACTATTCAGATATTGTTTTACTTTCGATCACCCACAAGTTGATCCATTGTTGCAGACAAAACCAATTATGTGAAGAAAATAATAAAATGTATATGTATTTTTTCTATAAATGAGTGAGTATTCAATAAATACTCTATTTCCTTTAGACAGAGATTCTTTGAAACATGTCAAATCATATGTCTACACAATCCTGACATTAGTCCTGATACATCTATCGTTCAATCTCAGTATTACTGTCACTGATGACCAATGTACTATATATAACGCCTTGTAATGCCTCTGGATTCCCCCGGATGAGCTGAAGGAAGTGTGTGTGGATAGGAAAGTCTGGGCTTTTACTGCTGCACCCACAACCCGGAAACGGATAAAGCGGAAGAACCTTTACTTATACCTTGTCCATATGAATACATTTAACATGTCTTAATCAGCATCCAAATTTCGCTTGAAATCTTTTGCTTTCAACATGTAGCAGATCAAGTGCTTTCAAACTGAACATAACATGCACTCTTCAGTTTTATGACCGATATTAGTTTTTACGGTTATACTATTTCTAATGGCTAATGCTAATGTGTTGATGCCAGCTAAATAGGCAAATAAAATATGTATGCTGCCAATTGAAGTTGTAAAAGGCCCTACATGACATTGCTCTTGCATGAAGCACTGCAGCACTTATGCTAACGTTACACACAAGTAATTTCCTGGGAAATTGCTGTGCCCCGAGGAGACACAAGCACCAAGTCCAGCCTGTCACAGCCCAATAGAGAGATCCTTCTATCGTCGCATGCAAATTGTCTCCCTGATATGATGGATGATAGGTTGAGGCACTCGGAGCTCACACTCTGAGCATTTTTGCATAATATGACATCTATCTGGGCTGTTTACTGTGAAATATGATGTCAGAAGTGTTTTGTCATGGCAAAACATCACTTTGGCATTTTCTTTTCTGTCTACAGAGCCCTACTTTGTACAAGCAGTCAATTACGGAGACTTTATCTACTTCTTCTTTCGAGAGATTGCCATGGAGTACAACACCATGGGAAAGGTAAGCACAAAAGCAGAACTTAAACTATTGTTCGAAGGGTCTAATCAGAAGTGGCTTCCTATTTACCAGGACACTAACAGGATGTGGGTGGATCACATGGTGGGAAGCAGGTTATTTAGGAGTTGCAAAGTTGCCAAGTATTTTATGTTATAAGATAAACATTAGGCAGGATGAAGGAACTTAAAATAGAATGCAGGGCGTGTACGTCGTCAGATCCTATTCTATTGAAGTTTAGGTATATACAACCTCAGCTACATCTGTTTTCCTTCTGCGAGTGTTTGACCCTCCGACTCAACATCGTTCCCACAATGATGAAACACAATTCTGACAAAAGACTTCGAATTTGAAACTTATGCGATGAAGAAATAACATTTGGCACCAGCAAACAGGCCAAAAGAATACTAGCATTATATATGTCTGCTTGGCTGCTTTGCCATTTCCCTTCTCAATTTCTGAGTACATTTTATTCAAATACAATACAGACCAAAAGTTTGGACACACTTCCTCATTCAATGAGTGTCTTTTCTTTTCATGACTATTGACTGTAGATTCACACCCAGGCTGTGTAAGGGCTGTTTGACCAATAAGGAGAGTGATGGGTGCTGGGCCAGATGACCCGGCCTCCAGTCACCGGACCTGAACCCAATCCAGATGGTTTTGGGGTGAGCTGGACCACAGAGTGAAGGCGAAAGGGCCAACAAGTGTTAGGCATCTCTGGGAACTCCTTCAAGACTGTTGGAAGACCATTTCAGGTCACTACCTCTTGAAGCTCATCAAGAGAATGCAAAGAGTGTGCGAAGCAGTAAACAAAGCAAAAGGTGCTACTTTGAAGAACCAAGAACATAAAACATATTTTCAGTTGTTTCATACTTTTTTTTTGCATGTACATAATTCCACATCAGTTAATTTATAGTTTTGAGGCCTTCAGTGTGAATCTACAATTTTCATAATCATGAAAATAAAAAGCTCTTTGAATGAGAAGGCAACAAAACAAAATAATTGATATGACAATATCAGCATTACTTTTTATATGATTAGCATTTATTAGTAAATCACTGTGCATCATATTAAGTCAATCTCCGTGTTAAAACTCATACTGTCTTTCCTCATCTTCAGCCCCTTTCCTTCTTATACCATAATATTGTTTTTTTATTTAAATTCTGGTGTTTATAATCACAATTTACAGAATTTGAGAGATCGTTTTTTGATATTTCAAATTTTTGGTGTTAGAGAAAATATAACTTTTCTAAGGATTCACAAAAACCCACAATTTTGTCTTTATTCCTCATTGGTAATATTTGAAGAAAATTTTCGAAATAAGACAATCAAGCTCTAAATAAATAGGATTTGTGGAAGCAATCCAATCAATACGTAATCTCATCTGAATTATTAAAATATCACACGAGAACAACCATGGGTGATAGAGAGGAGAAGCTGGGAGAAGCATTGGAATAATGCGTGCACAGAAGTGACAGGCATGTGTTAAGTGTCGCGCAGATGCGGAGCGGCCTGTGCAATCTGCTGCATGTTTCCAACGCGCTGTGGCGGCCATTATGTATGCACCGCGAGGACGGGCGCTCCACAGCTATTTAGCCTTTAAAAAAATGATATTCTTTGATAAATAAGAAGTGGATGTGTCTCCTGACTCACCAAGGAAGCAAGAAACACAAGATGGAATGATGCAGTTCTATTGTTTTTTGTTAGTTTGTCGTCGATAACATAACTTTCAATTTTATACAATTTATATTTGTGTAACCCTAATTGACAACAGCAGTCGTGTTGGAGGACTTTATAAAATAGTTGATTTGTTAGTGACCTATGAGAGAGTGAAACAAATGGCAGTAATTAAATAAATTCACTCAATTCAATTAAATGTATTCTTGTATAGCCCTGAATGACAAAAGTCTTGGAAGACTTTACACAACTGTTGAATTTGACACAGATCAGAGAATCAAACCGTTCAAACAGTTTTTTTTCATGTTTTTCTTTAAATAAATACTGTACATGGGAGATATTGGTCCATAGGGAGCAGGATGACCAACGTCTGCTAATGTTAATAAATGTCCAAACATGTCAACAAAATAACAACATTCAATTTTTTCTTTTTTTGGTGCACTTGTGAGGAAATGTCAGTCTTGCAACACACGGGTAATGAATAGAAGGGATTTAGCAACGCAAGGACTCAAAAACCAGTTGCATGGCTTTTTTTTAAACTAAAACAAATACAAAGTGTCTGTCGTTAGTTGTCAGTGGACACAACAGTATACTCAATCTCACTATGTTTTACTAAGAATCAGAATTACCTTTTGCCATCGTAAGTAACAGGAAGTCATAAACTAAGAATTTGCTTTGGTATATAGTGCAAATAATTAATAGAATAAAGTACAAAATGGATACAAAGGAATGCATAAAATATCGCAATAGGCATTTAACAGTGCAGGCATGATATGATATGGTCTGAATCAACATCTGTAAAGGCATTATATAACAACCTCTAAAAATGTCCTGATTGCTAACTAGCTCATTAGCTCCATCTCCCTATTTGTTTTCAGCCTTTAAAAAAAAAAGTCTTTGAAATCAGCCATCTTTGAACAGATCTACATCAGAAAACCCACAGCTGTACTCCTCATATTTGTCTGTGCTTCCCTCTTCAAATTCACTTCCTGTGCGTTTTTTTTCCCTACACACAACAAAACTAACGATGGCGCGAACACACACTTTGCCGTACGCGGTAGCAGAAGGTTTTATTCGACTCTAATTGCGTGTTTAGTGCGTCTTGCTGAACGCGTGAAGAGGCGTGGTTCTGTCCTGACCGATTTTAAATGGCTGTTTCGCTCTCTCTCTCACTGTTTACTCCAGGTTGCGATTTCAGGTTAGCGTTAGATTTATTGCTGTTAAGTATAGTGTGACAACAACTAATTACACCACTGACTACCCCATCTTACGCCACACTTGTAATTACCCCTCGGGCTCCTATTGAGGCCGAGGCCCAGAAACGTGGCGGTTGCTAAGACGCAGGCTGTTTATGGTCCATATCAAACACTGCAGATTACAGAGTGCTGCTTTAATGTCTGATGGAGTGTTGAAAACTTGGATTAAGAGACTAGATTTCTGTCAAATATAATGTTTTATGGTCTCCTGGTGTGGCTGCTTATGTTCTTTGGGAGAGAGAAAAAAAAAAAAACCTCTGTATTTCTTTTTGCTGGCAACTTTGGCTATGTCGGGTCATTGTACGCTGTAAACGAGAACTGAGAGACCAACTGATTTTAACTAAAGTAGCAAAGTTTATTTAGATAACAAATGATCCGCTCACACTGTGCAAAGTCTGTTGGAGGCTCTTCCCAGCGTTCTGTTGAAGGAGTGAAACCGAGAGTCAGAGCGCAAGCTGTGATGAGCAAAGTTCACTCAGCACATAATTATCAGAAAAGTTAATCTTACAGAAATCTTACACAAACACAACACTTTGCTGAATTTCAATCTCTGTGCAGAAAAGGTTGTGACATTCCCTGAGCTTACTGAAATGTTGTTTGTAGCCCTGAGCTCACTGAAAGGTTTGTGTAGAAAAAGTGTATTAAATCACAGAGTATAATGTGTGGCATTTTGACCAGGGCAAAGCTGTACTTTTTATGCTCGTTTATGAAGTGTGAAAACAGTAGCTATTAAGGGCTGACCTTTCTCATTGGCCGTGTGTAGGTGGTGTTTCCCCGTGTGGCCAGAGTGTGTAAGAACGACCGCGGCGGCTCGCCTCGGGTCCTGGAGAAACAGTGGACATCGTTCTTGAAGGCCCGACTCAACTGCTCCATCCCTGGAGACTCACACTTCTACTTCAACATCCTGCAGGCTGTGACCGACGTCATCCGCATCAACGGGAGAGATGTGGTCATGGCCACTTTCTCTACTCCCTACAACAGGTACACAAACATTTACAGATTACCCATATGCATATAGCACATGTTTATGTGAGTCAGAGAGCAGCTCTGGGCAGCGCAACTGTGTGACAAGACACACAGCGACAGCAACTTTGCACTTTACATCAATTAAAGTAATTATGAGTTGCCGTTTGAAAGAGTGTTTGAAAGCCTTCAATTCGTCAACAAGATGTCAGCCTGACCTTTTTAATGTTAGAAGTGTGTGCTCCCGCTGGGCCTCTTAGCAATATATTATTTCCACAAAGGGTCAACATTTATGTCTTCTGTCAAAACTGTTTTGCTGGCCCTTTGACATGCAGAGGCTTAATAATGCTTTCCTGGTCATCTTCGGAGCAGCTGCATATGCACGGCCTAGAGACTTTGTTATCTAAATTGAAAATTACCACTGAGCCATAGCGTTGAGCTGATAGCTGCACATATTGTAATATTCCATTTTATGGCGACTTTTAGTAGATAAGACAATGGCTTGTCACAATAAAATTGGGCATGGTTAATGGACATTAAAACTCAGTGGAGCAAACAAAGTAATATATTCTGAGTGCCAGACCACATTCTGGATTTAAATTCTTATATCATGGAGGGTAAGAAGAAACATTTTCATTTCAGCACCCGTTTCTGATTTACCAGAGCCTGGTAGAAATCAACACGTGACTGCTTCATTCACCTCACAAATCAAATTCACTGGATAATTGCTGTAATTTTGTCCCAAAGCCAAGACTTAGCAGCTCTGCTGTCTGCTTCCCTTGTGAATGCCTCTATCCCACAGATACCCGTGATGCAACAGCCCATAAATCCAAACTATCTGCCCTTTACGGTGTCTGATAAGGAGCACAATCACTGGATTCTTATTTGGTGAAAACTGGAAAGTTGCTCAGCTCCTGAACCCTGGCCAGTGGCTCAGTGGCTATCACAAGATGGAGAGCATTATAATAGGATAATCCGCTGTCTGTGGTGTATATTTCTTTCTTGACAGAAGACTTGTGATATGAATGTAATGGCCTCCGGCTTCAGGGGAAACCCAGAAGAGAATGTATGTCCTCACAAGACAAGATTATGACAATAAGAGTTCTGTTGCATTTTTTCTATTCCAAGCCGAGATGGTTCGTTTGGGTCTTACTAAAACTAATTTTCCATTTGGATTCCTCTGCTTCTCTATAAACAAACGATGGAATGCTTTTGGGGGTTAATCAGGGAGAAGTGAGCGGGTCTTGGTCCACATTGGGGAAGGTGTTTCTTTGATACAGACTTGAAAGCTTGTTTTTCTGTGTGCTTGGCAGTATTCCAGGCTCAGCTGTCTGCGCCTACGACATGGCGGAGGTGGCCAACACGTTCACGGGCCGTTTCAAAGAGCAGAAATCCCCCGACTCCACCTGGACGCCTTTTCCTGAAGACAAGGTTCCCAAGCCAAGGTACATGGGATAATTAGCCCCTCACACACACACACACACACACACACACACACACACAAACACACACAAATGCACAGATGGAAGAGGAACAACATCTGCTTTAACGATTACCTACACAAAGACACACAATACACAATAGCAAGGATTTGGCCTAAAAGAGAGATATACTATACTAATGTAGTTCCTTTTTCCTTGATTTATCATTTATGCACCCACAGTTGAGTGCTTTGTGAATACTTTTTATGAAATATGGATGAACAAAAAATTACAACAATATAATTCATTCCACGTAGTTCCTCATTTGCAAAACATTGTAGTTATATCGCTAGCTTTCAAATTCATGTATTTTTGGTCTTTGTCATATCTTTATCATATTTTTGAGACGGAAAAGTTAAAATTGAGTGGACCACGTGAAGGAAATCAACTCTCAACCCAGAGTGTCAAATAGTGCCTCACAGTTTGCAAGTTTTTGGAACAAATAGCATGGAAAAACTTTGGTTACCCCTGCTTTACGAATTTTTAGCTCCATACTTTGATGATTCATGAAGTCAATTTCCTGCTTTCATGTTTTGCATAACACTTTGAATTGTGTTGCTATAGTGATGACCTTGCTTAGCTCATAACTACAGCAAAAATCAGACAAAACAGTGGACTCGATCTTCATTAATGCAGAGAGATCATTTCTGCTTTATTTATAAGTCTCATAAAAAGAATATTATTGAATTCTATTTCCTGTTTTTAAAATGTTAATATTACTTAAACTAAAAAGTATGTATAACAAAGTAAGCTCCCTACTTTATTAAGCACATAAAAGCTGTTGTGCTGTTAATATATTCTTGCAGCCTTTCTTTCCGTATCTCGTGAAAACGTCGCCGTAGGGATTTTTGCAGTTTCACAGTTGCCCCTGAACCATTACCTCACTCCTGGCCCCGCCCACTACCGACGCAGCTGCATCAAAGAAGGGCTCAACAAATGAAGCATGAGATCATTTTACAGACGACTGGCTAATTCCACAAATGCACCAGCCTGATCAATCTTCCATCTATCGCGGCCTAATTAGAGCGCTAAGAGCCTCTCTCATCTCGCAAACGGAAAAAAGGCGATTACGACAAAGATCTGGGCCGTGATAACTGCTTGGTGTGTGTTCCGATATGTCTCTGCTGGAGCCTTTATCAATACAAACTCACACGCCGAGCTAACCGGAGTGGCCATGTACTTGTAATTAGCAGATTTGTAAAAGACAAGGTTAGCTGTGCAACTCTGGAGTGGTCTGAGTAATACAGTCAATTCTAAAGGGGTAATTGCAATTTAGTTTAGCGCCCAGGGTGACATCATGGGACACTTCTGTATTCTAAAAGACATGATTTTTTTTAATATTTCAGACACAGTGGCTTTCTCTTAATATGCATCTTTCTAGTTCTTCATTCTTAAACAGTTTCTATCACTAAGTAACCACTCTTTTTCACATGCATGTATAGTATTTCTGGCATCTGTCACATCTTCAGCTTTTTCAGACATAGAGTAGTACCCTTATTAGACCAATCAGCTCAAAGTGTCAAATACTCACTGGGCTCTTTCTTATACAGTAGGCAAAAGATAACATGGCTTACAATAGAATAAAGACAGCAAGTTGAGGTCTGGTTTTTTCACAAATCGTTACTTTTGCATGACTCTTTATCATGGGACAAAGTCTAAAAAAATGGGTATACCACCTTTAAAAAGTGAGAAACCTCTGGAGGGCCCATTGACAGACGGGCAGCCGATCCAAGTCAAAACAGATGTTGAAACTACCCTCAAACTCAAAGCATTAGCAATTTTTATTATTATTATTATTATCATCAGACAGTTGCACATTCACTATGATCACTGTCACCGTAATTGCATAAGACTAGTGCAAATACAGATGTTACGACAGACAATGCCAGTGGGGAGCACGAGAGTAAGAGCCACAAATAAAACTGTAAGTAGTCACTCTAGCCAGATTAACTCTAAAACTATGGAGCTATAATTTCCTCCATAAACAGCAATCATAAAACCACAACTTGGGTAGAAAAGTTGGAAGTGCATTTGTTTTCCTTAAGGCAGAGAGAATAACAATGAAGGCATGTTAATAACCAGTGCTTCAGTTGTTGTCATACTTTTCACATAAGAAAACGTTTTGCTTTATACAGACCACCAAAAAAATGTCAGCTCGGGATATACACACAAGGTTCAAGAATTGCGTGATAAAGCATTCGTCTTTGCCCTTATTGATGTGATTGATATGAGACAGACGGAGCGTGCTAACAAAGGCGGCGAGGTGGGCCCTGCAGCAGACTGCCTCTCCATGTGTCAGATTCCGGTTCCCAATCATTTACACATTTCAGCATTTAGGAGATGTCTGCTTCTGTTCTGCGCTCCATATGTCCACACACACACATCACTGGAGCCACAGCGGGGGGAAAAAAACCCTGTTACAGCCCTGGCTTTCATTCTCCTCAAATATTCCATGTGATTTTAACTGTATTCATCTAAAGCCATTATGAGACCATGTGAAGCCAAATTTGTCAAGGTAATTCTTTATTTCAGGTCGCCGTGGACCGAGAAGTGTGAAAATTGCCTTTCAAACCCTTGCAGTGTACTCCGTAATTTGATTTTCTTTAGACATTTTCAGCATGGTTTCTGCTAACATTCACACGTCAATCTTTGTGCCAGTAGGAAAAAGCGGCTTATTTGAAGGGTGCAGAGGTTTCCCTTTGTCTGTGTGTGTGAAATTGCAAATGGACGATTATTGGCCATGTTCTGTACATCACAAGAAAAACGTCTTTAGACCGGATACGTCACAATTGTCGATCATGCATAGACGCTGCATTTGACAAGAATGGAGAAAGGATTATTGTTGGTGATTATTGATAATGTACTGTACATCACAAGAATCTGCTTTAGACCTTATACTTGTCAATCATGCGTGGAAGATAAAGATTAAGAGATCCTTTATCCGTCCCACAGCAGAGAAATTTCAGTGTTGCATCACAGATATGGTACAGTAGGAATGAGGAATGTAGGAATGAGGGGCACACAGCACAAAATAAGTGAACATTAGCTAGACTAGTTAAAATAATACAAAATCTCAACTCTCTAATTCTAACAAGTATAATATCTCTATCTTGAACATAATAATGATAAAGAAGTATAAACATTTAACATTTGGCAAGTATAAAGTACTTTGCATTCTAGTGCAATAGAATACATAGTACTCTATAGTGCAAGGCTCTGGGACACAGTGACTCAGTGGAAGCCCAATTTGATAACATCATAAAGAATTGCATATGGAAATAGATAGGAATTACATTATGGAAGAAAACTATGACCTATATGTGGCATAACCTGTATGTGAAAGCCTTATCCTGGCAGACCTCAGAGGCTAACTAGGGCAGGGCCTGGTTAGTACTGTGATGGAGCACCAGTTGCCACAGTGGGGCGGCTGCAGCTGCAAAGTACCAAACTCTCATTGTGTCCTTAGGCAAGACACTTCACCCACCCACATTGCCTAGAATGAGTCTAGTGTGTGGGTAAATGGTTGGTGGGCAGAGAGCATTTCACAGACCAAAGTCTCACAAAGCACGTGTGTACCAGTACATTTTACATTCATACCTATTGTACATGTTTTTAGTGTGAGTAGAAACCCGGAGGAGACCTGAGGGCAGAACACGCACACAGAAAGGTGGAGGTGAAATCGAACACAGTACCTTCTTACTCTGAAGCTCAAACATTTTGCAACTTATTTTCCATTTGAGTGGCCTTTCCAGAGATCAAATGAATAACAAAATAAACTTACTGCTTAACTTTCTTATACCAGTGCCTTAAGAACGTAAACATTGAGGGAGATGCAGAGACTTCATCAGCTGTGCAGGACTCACTCTAAGTCACTATTTTGCAAAATATTGAAAGAAATGATTGGAATATTTAGCGCAAAACAACTTAAATTATGCTGAATTAGATTTACCAGATAACAGTGTCCACGCAAAACCCATAGAAATCCTTCCATTACCGGCAAATATAAAAAAGTTATTTTGTACCACGAGAGATGCTTTCAATTGAGTTCAGCTGTAAACATAATCTTATAGAAGAAACCCTTTGACCACAACATTTCAAATGGATACGGCGCTGAAAGTCAACCCCAGTGTGCAGTGCTCTCTCCTCTAAAGCCAATCCAATTTCAACATCAAATTTGCGTCTTTTCTCCAAACACACTGCCTCTAAAATGAGCCCTTTTCACGGCGGCGTGCACAAGTATGTTCCTATGGGTTTCCGCGCAGGCCGAGAGAGACGTGCGCTGGCCACTGCTCTAATAATTCTCGGACCTGGAGTGGATTATGCGGTGTGGCAGGGAATCAGACCAAGCAGCGAAGGCTTTTACAGGCTCTCCAAGGTGATGCTGCAAAGGGGATATGCTATCAAAAGCAGCTTTCTCTTTTTACAAGCAGCTCACTGACTTGCTGTAAAAGGATCACATAGATAGACAGTCTCTGAACTGCAGTCGCTGTCCCTGTAAAAGACTTCCCCCACATGAATTATCCTTTTTTTTTTTTAAGTTTGTGGATGTCGCTTTTGAAGAAGTTTCTAGCTCCCATTGCAGTCACAAAAACAAAGAGTTGCTTCCTTGTTGGGAAATGGTGGAAGATATATTGTACAGTAGCTGAATCAAAATTTCATCTCTGGTTGACAAATCCTGCAGTCTTTTGAATGATCAAGATTCTTCAAAATAGACTCTCCTTGGCTGTACTTGCTGAGAATTCATGAGTTTTAGTTTCTTGATGATATATGCAACATTTTGTTTTGTTCCATAAATACGGCACATGTTGTTTGTCCTAACAGAATTAGCTTGGTCGTACCACACCGTCGTAAAAAATTACTATTCGTACTAAGGTCTGGACGTGCTCCATTGAGCTCCATTTACAGGTGGGAGGGGCTAACTCCTTTTGCAGATTGAAACGATTCGATCTGAGTTTACCGTGACGTATGTAATGCGCTCGAGTGAGTTGTTAGCATTTAGCCATCTCCTTTGCCACTAACGAAGCCCGTGGGGAGTAGCACCACAATCTTTGACAGCAATTACATTCGCTAAACATTCCTCTTGCTCCGGTTTCCACATTCTTGATAGAACCAGACTGGAATATTTTACTATTGCATTTTTCGCCATTGCCAATCTACAACCTGCCTGTTCGGCGCAAACTCTTGATGTCACCCACAACTAACTACAACACCCGCCTCCCACGCTTGCTGATTGGTTGGATGGAAGTCAATTGATTGTAATCGCAAACACTGGGACCAGACCCAGACGTTACATGCAGGGAAATGATAATTGAGCGGAGTGTACGGGTGGCTAAGGCCAGGCTATAACATAATGAGCCTTGCTTGAATAACATTTTGTGAATAAATCAGACCTATACTGAGATCTGACTGCCTGAAAATGAATGATAAAACCTAACAGTTTATGGGTTATGAGGATTACTACTACTTACTACTACCCGGAATAAGAATTAACCAATGCTAACATATAGCATCTTCTTACCTCTCGAAAACGTCTTTACAGGATGGTCCAAAAGTTGGCTCTTGGTCCAAAGCTCCGTTCCACATGTGTGTCAATGCTGAGGGGGTGATTACAGATGCTAACATATAACCACACTTTACTTGCAGTAGAATACGCAGTACTTTATACTCTGTATATAATGTTACATTTTTACATCTATTATTATTTTCAAGATAGAGTTTTTATACTTATTATAGATGCTAGATTTAGATATTTTGTTTTATTTTAATTAGGACAGCTACTGTTCAGGTAACGTGTGCTGTGTGCACCTCTTTCCTACTGTTCTATTACTTGTGATGCAACACTGAAATTTCCCCACCGTGGGACAAATAAAGGATCTCTTAATCTTACGTTTTTTCACATTTTCCAGCCCCCGCGGCCATTTTGAATCACTCCATGAGAGCCCAATTTTTGGCCCATTAGTTAGAACGGCAGAGATAGCCGTGACTACGTCCATTAATATATACAGTCTATGGTAGGGACATAGATTTTCAAAGTTTAATGCTCCGGCTTAAAGGTTAAGGTTTTCTTGCCCCCTTAAGGAAATATGTCATCTGCATTTGACCCATCCTTTAATGCCACTAGGGCAATTGCGTTCAGGGACCCATCTTCAGTGGTTAATGCTTGGATTGGTTAGGAGTACTTTCACTGGAGGATTACCAATGGAGCATGTTTTTGGGTGGGGGGTAAAACCGGAGCGCCCAGAGGAAACCCAGCCAGTGCTGCTGTTATAGAATTATATACCCCATGAAGGAGGAAACTCAAAGGTCCTTGTCTGATCAAAAGCGTAAGTTTATTGTTAACGCACAGTGCGGAGAGTCAGCATATCCACACAAAGGCAGCATGCTCAGCTCTGGGGGCCAGAGCCCCCAGCTTCCTGTATACAAAACACACACCAAAGATAGTCACGCCCACAACGGAGCGGAGGGGGCCACCGGTGAGGAGGCGCACAGGAAGCGCCGGCGCCATCCCCTGTGGTGGCAGTGGCATGGGGTGTGAACAGACAGACAATGGTGGAAGTGCAGGTCATACAGATGCAAGACGGAAAGACACAAGGGTGTGACAGACAGCAGGGACCTTCACAAAGCTCAGCATGGCGTCAGAAGGTTGTCTGCATTGATAAAAGGCCTTTGACGTCCGTGTATTTGCTGCGGCTGGTTTTAATGTAATTACTCCAAAAACTGTCACCACACTCCCCTCTTCTGATAATTCAAAACCATTTTTGCATTAATCAGTTAAATACCAGAGGCATCGTAATCACACCACCTTCAAGCTTGAAACACTTAAATTATTGCTGTCCAAAGTGGACAGGAAAAGACACATGCTTGTCAATAAAAGAAAGAGCACATTATAATAACACAATGGATCCGGACAGCGATAAGAGAAGGCAATATTAACATAATAAACACGGTCAGCACGGAAAGTAGTGTCAGTGTGGCCAGCATAACAGTCCAAGGGCCCATGCCGGTCTACGTTCGGTAGTCTTTTCCGCGGGAATACTCACGAGCAGTGCCGTCTCGCAGTCAGTGGCACCGCTCCCTATGAGCGTGTGTGGAGCGTTAATGGTCATGGCGATGTTTGGTCTTGGAGCGGCAAGACTCTATTTGCGTTGAAGCCTTGGCCTCAGCACTCGGTTGGGCAGAGTGCTCGGGGTTTGGGGTGTGGCGACCATGGCTTGAGCACGCTCCAGATCGGCCAGGCCCAAAGCTCGTTTGATGGGAGACCTCATGACAGCACGCTTCACCATGTGCCTCATCAGGAACTGTAGAGCAGCCCTCATCTCCACCTCCTCCGGACACACGGGAGACGAGACACCAGGGGGCACTCCAGCAGAGCTCCAATCTGCATTATGGCCAGAGGGAGCAGGCTCTGGAGAAATCTTTGGAATGAGCAGCAGCTCTGCATACTTGCTGCGGCTGAGCAGAGCGCTCAGGGCCTTCATGGCTCCCAGGCCTTGGGGTCCGGGGGCTGGGGAGTTGGGCAAAGGGGGGTCGCCTCGGGAACGCTGGGAATCTCTGGGTGTTGTTGTTGGCCTGCTTCACCGATGGTGGTCGCACGCCGGCAGACCTATTCAGCGTAGGGAGCCGCGGATGGGCCTGGTCCGTCCGCGCCCTCGGTGTCCTTGTCTATGGCCCTCAGTGGCAGCACCGCACGACAGTGGTTGGCGTGGATCCAAGTTGTCCTCTCCGCGACCTTAACGGCAGTGTCCGTCACCAGGAGGGCGAGGAATGGACCGAGCCAGCGCTTGGACCGCCAATGTTGTCGTCTCGTTTCCTTCACCAGGACTCAGTCGCCTGGCTTGATCCTGTGCAGAGCCGCCTGCGCAGCCTGTGGCAGGGCGCTCCTGACCTGGGCAGAAATAGAGGACAAAAGTGCATTAATTACCTTACAATAGGACAGCATGTCGTCATCACACAAAGAGGTGCTTGGCAGATCTCTGTTCGGGGGTCCCGCGCCCAACGTGGGGCTAGCGGCAGAGCTTTGAGTGCCATTCTCTCGCTCGCACGTGCCTCCGGACCAGGGGGCGTAACTGCAGTGTTTACGTATATCAATGCCCAGAAATTCACCCACTTCCTCAATGACTTTTGCTACAAAGTGACTCACCACCGCGTTGCTCGTGGCGTGTATGCCTGCAAATACTTCAGTCCATTTGGACCAGAGATCCGCCAGACCCAGACAGTATTACTTACCTTGGCATGGTGTGAGTTCAACAAAGTCCCTTTGGACATGTTGAAATGGGCGCAGGGGCGGAGGATGAGCAGCCTGTTGGATACTTTTGGGACTTACCTGGGTTGTGCGCGGGGCATATAGCGCATGTTTGGCTGAATCTCTGTGCAAATGCCGTAAGCCCCTTTGTATACCAATTTTGTGTGATTAAATCACACATCATCCCTCCTTTTGAGGCATGGTCTCGACCATGTGCTAAAATTGCAAACTGTCTGAAGAAATGCCGTGGTAGGCACGGTTTGCTGTCTGGTCCCAGCCACACACACCATGCCGTCGTTGAGCCCCATTCCCCTCCCACAGCAGCGTCTCTGCTGGAGTAGAAAATATCAACGTCTTGAGTGAGGTAGTGTGTGTGTGTGTGTGTAGAGGTGCGTATGCCGCTGCCTTGTCCGCGCGCCGATTCCCTGCAGAGATGGGATCAGTGGCATTAGTGTGGGCCTGGCATTTGCATACAGCGATCTCTAAGGGCAACATTACAGCTTTCAGCAGACGTTCAACCTGTGTGGAATTAAGAATTGGTTTACCATCAGATTTCATAAAATTGCGGTGTTTCCACAGTGCTTCCCAGTCGTGCACCACAGAGAAACCATAGCGCGTATCACATAATATGTTAACAGTTTTGCCCGCTGCCAGCTCACAAGCCCCGGTGGGCGCGACCAGCTCAGCGGTTTGTGCTGAGTGGTAGTGGGGCAAACTACCAGAGTCTATAGTATCAAAATCAGAACACACAGCATAGCCGACTCGGTTCTTCCCAGTGTTGTCACGTGACGCGGCTCCGTCTGTATATAAAAAAAAATCAAGTCAGGATTAGTCAGAGGCACCTCTTTCAGGTCTGGCCTGGGAGTGCATCTCTGCTCTATTGTGGCGATACAGCAGCGTGCCTCCCCTTTGTACCCCAGCCAACGAGCCGCAGAAAGGTGAGAGGCCCTCTGCTCTAACAGGATCAGGGAAACAGCATGGGGCACAAGCAAAGTTAGTTCAGTGTATCCCACAAGGTCACGTGATGCTAGGGCCGCTTTCTCAGCGGCAGCCACAGCCCGCAGGCAGCGAGGCAACCCTGCTGCCACGGGATCGAGTTTTGCTGAGAAGTAAGCAGTGGGTCTCAGTGGCCCTCCGTGAGACTGCAAAAGTACCGACTGTTCCGTTCATCTCCAGTTGCTTTCTCCCGGATCGTCCTCAATTCATATTGTGGGCTTTGGTGCCAAGGTAGAGGCTCATTTCCTCATGATCCATACTACTGTCATCCCTGGAGCAGGGGTAGTTTATCTCTCATCTGAAAAAGAAATATTAGAACACAAAAAACACAAAAAAATGCCCACTTTCGCTTGTCAATCTTTTTCCAATTGGGCAAAACATAACTGCATTGACAGACGGTGTTTGGCATCAGGGCGGAGGCTGTAGCAAAATACAGACTTAACAAAATGTATGTTTCTAATTTTATACTTCCCTAAATGTGAGTTTACAAACCAAGTTGTCCTTCAACCAACGACAGCTCACTGCGGTTGGACTGTGTCGCTGTCAGGACAAACAGCAGAGGCAGGAACTCCCAATATCTTCAGCGAGGTATTTCATCTCCGAGTACTTTCAGCAGAGTACTTTTCTCAGAGTACTCATCCCAGAGTACTCTCACTTTTACACCTGTTCAATAAAGCTTGTTATCTTTGAATCTCTAGTACTTACACCGTATGCTGTTGACAAAAAATAATTATTCCATGATCACATTAAAACATTACAGACACATTTGTTATTCCATGATTCCGTTCAGCATTCCTCATTTCACACATCACACTCATATCACAGTCACATCACAGTCACATCACAGTCACATCACAGGCCGATTTCCCACGTTAGTATTTTGGTCCAGTTTGTTAAGGTCAGCGTAGTGTACTTTGACATGACACACAAACATATAACATGCACAAAACATATAACACACACAAACATATAACAACACAGAAGGCCTGTACTTTTAACTTTGTTATATTTTTCCATGTCCAATTCCAATTGTCTCATGAGTTATTTCTTATTGTTGCAACTTTCAGAGCCTGTAGAGCTTTAAAAGAGTTTTCCTAAAAGGATCCATTTCCAACTTTAGTGTTTACCACGTGGTCTGTATTTCGGGCTTATCACAAATGGTGTCCCCTATATCTCTAATGAGCTCTTGTCACCTAAAAAAATGTTTATTTTCCTTATTTTTTTTTTCTTTTTCAATAAAGCCAGGTCGGATTCATTAAAAATGTAAATTAGTCTCAAACTTTAATACTTCACCTTTGTTTCACGATAAAATGTTTTTGTTGCTCATTAAGTAGCACAGATAGTGGTGCCTATCTCAATAAACGTACTCCGTTAGCCTATCTTCCCTACACTGCATGAATTTTCAAACTCCAAGTTATTGTCTGGGACCGACCGGAGAGAGCAGCTTAGGTCGTTCGCGTGGTTGACCTCCAAATTTTGTGCGGGCGTAACTCTATTCACTTGTTGTGGCTAATAACTTAGCAATCTCAGGGTTTGGTGTCAATTTCCAGTGGTAGTTAACTTTTGGGACCGGTGCCTCCTTTTATTTATCTATTTTTAATTGAGTCTGCACATAAGGTCTCGGCCTAGTAGGTTAACCGGGGACAATGGGGAATATAGAAAAGAATGTTTAAGCTGGTTGCCCTGAGAATCAAAACACGTTAGCGGTGACGTAAATTGCTCTTTAGTCGTCTCTCCGACGCTGCTAATTAGAATATGAAGCGGCCACTCATTTTAGGGGAGACAGAAAGGCTGTCACTTTTAGCACAGAATTTGTTGCCCCGGAGTCATCCAGAATTTTAACTTGTACACCACAGATTGTTAGCGTATATTACGGGCATGAATTATCTCTAAAAAGTGCCAATTGCAATTTGTTGTTGTTCAACTTACATGAGCGGTTGCTTTGGTGACGAATGTGAACCCAGGTTTGGTCAGTCGCTCGTGTTTCCTCCGTGCCCGCCTCTGCCGTCCTCTGGCCCCGTGTGAGCTTGAGAGGCCCTCTGCCTTTAACGCCTCCTCCGGTAACAGTCCTTCGACCCATGTCGAGCACACAGTCTTTCCGCCGGGCTGTGGAAGTTTTTCAAAGTCCGCAGGAGGCCCAGGTAGCCCAAAGCGTTAGCCTGTGGTCCATGAGGGTTGGTGAATAACCCAAACGTGCCGGTACTTTTGGCTTCTTCTGTTTGCGGTGCGGGAACAACTTTCAGGGGGGTTTCCGCGGGTGCGTTTGGTATATCACGCTGCCCCCTCCGTGGAGAACAGTCACGGGATTTGTAGCAGTTTCTCTCTGTGCTCCAAAGCAGTTCTCGGTGTCTCACATATTTGCTTCCCCGCTTCTTCTTCTGTGGTTTCCTGAGCGTGTGTCCGTTTCCGCCTCTTCTTCTTCTGCGGTTTGGGCCCACTTCTCGCGGGGTCTCAGCTGGTGCGGGCGCCGCCTGTGGTTGGGGCGTGGGGCTGGTGCTTTGAGGCAGAGGACAGTGCGCGGAGGAAAGGCGCCGACAGACCTGGATAGGGAGAGGAAGAGGGACAACAGTAGTCTGCTCATTTTTTAAAAACCCAACGCCTTGTTTGGGTGCACACTTATTGTTAGTAGGGGTAGGGTGGGGGTGTGGGGGATGTGTGTGTGTGTCCGCCTCTGTGTTCTCCGCTTCGGTGAAGGGCGGAGGAGCTATTGTTTTTACATATTTCTTTCTCTAACCTCTTTTGCCGTGATATTCTTAAAACCAAGTATATTTTTTCTTCCCTTCTTCTTCTAAATTATCACGCAAGATGCGTAATGGCCTGCACCATAGGCAAGCACTCCATAGCTTGCATCTTCTAGATTGTTTTTTACCCATTTTCTCGTACGAACAATGGGCCTAACCCGCTTAGTCTCTCCCTGCTCCTACCCACTTTGGGGCGCTCCATTCCCCCCTCGCTGGTTCAACCAGCGAGCGCGCGTTCTTGAAATGGAGCGGTTCTGGCTGAAGACACTTGGAGACATTTTCAGGGTCGCCTACAGGACGATACTAACGCGCAGCCGCTAGTTTCAATCTAGAACAAAAAGCCCCCCAAAAAATCCCGCACACAGACTATGCTGTGGCAATGAATGAAATACCCCAAAAATACATAAATAAACAAATCCCCGTGTACACTTAAGTGCTGCCCTGGGCTCGTTACGCAGATGAAAAGACAAGACTCACCAGATTAGGTTCTTTTTGGTCTTGTGTGGCAAAAGGATTCCTTCCGTGCGCGGACGAGCGCGCTCTCCTTTGTCTCCAAAAAGGAACAGAGGCTGGTGATCCAGGTCGGCCAAACAAAGCCGCTCGTCCCCACCGAAAGTATCCATGCCAAGACATGCCAGCAACGCCAAATTGTTATAGAATTATATACCCCATGAAGGAGGAAACTCAAAGGTCCTTGTCTGATCAAAAGCGTAAGTTTATTGTTAACGCACAGTGCGGAGAGTCAGCATATCCACACAAAGGCAGCATGCTCAGCTCTGGGGGCCAGAGCCCCCAGCTTCCTGTATACAAAACACACACCAAAGATAGTCACGCCCACAACGGAGCGGAGGGGGCCACCGGTGAGGAGGCGCACAGGAAGCGCCGGCGCCATCCCCTGTGGTGGCAGTGGCATGGGGTGTGAACAGACAGACAATGGTGGAAGTGCAGGTCATACAGATGCAAGACGGAAAGACACAAGGGTGTGACAGACAGCAGGGACCTTCACAAAGCTCAGCATGGCGTCAGAAGGTTGTCTGCATTGATAAAAGGCCTTTGACGTCCGTGTATTTTCTGCGGCTGGTTTTAATGTAATTACTCCAAAAACTGTCACCATTCAGGGACAATTACTCTCTCAGATCTTCTCCATTTTGGTTTGTTAATATTGGGCATTTATCATCAGTCTTACAGACCGTGTTACTGATCCACAACAGCAATTACTTGCACTCATTTAGCTTCAAAAATGAAATTCCTTCTCAGCAAGTACATTACAATTATAAATAGTTTTGAGGATGATTGAGTTTGAAAGTGTTCTTGTAGCCTCACTTTGAAGCTCTGTGTGCACGATGAAAAGTCCATGTTCTTGAAGTTGGTAAGATTAAAAACTTCATTTGTAAGAGTTGTGTTGCGTTTGAAAATACTTTACATCTTAAAATAATGAATATGACGCTTTATCTTTGGCCATTCAATTATTTTATGCAACAATTCACTTTGCCATGTCATGTTTAAGAACGTGAAATAATACCTTCAGTAGAGGGTAAGTAATGGTATCGGTCTGGCCTATCCCAATGCTACACCGGGAGAGTAAAAACAACTCAATCTTTTAACATGTTTGTATTTAATATTAATTCTGGTCACATCTGTGGAGTGGTGACAGTGAGTTTTCTGAGGTTTGATATAAGCAACCATGAATCATTTTATCATTCCACTCATATATCTAATAAGGTGAAAGCAACTCAGCTGTTTAATTCAAAGAAATGACAAAACCGTGAGGAAATATGAAAATGGACAAATACATTCTAATTACATTTTTGTGGATGCCTTGAAGGGTCTGTTTTTTTCTGAGTGTTTGTAAATGCATTCTGTACCCTAGGCTACTTTTTTAATTAGAAGCACAAACTAAGGTAAGTAGTTTGTGCTTTGTGCATGCAACACATTATGTATATACGTGAAACTCAGAAAATCTAATTATTTCTGTAATTCAACTAAAAATGTGAAAATAATATATATAACAGACTTACATGCAAAGTTACATATGCATTTGAATGTTATTATTTTGATGATTATGGGTTACAGTCCATTCTCAATATTTTTTTAGATTTTCTTTTTGGGTTTTTGTGCGCCAACTATCAACATCATTTACAAATAAAGGCTTGTTATACCTCAACTTGTGTGTAGTGAGTCTATAGCACATACTAGTTTCACATTTTAGGTTGAAATACAGAAGTGAATTGACTTTTGAAACATTTTCTATATTTCCAAGTTTCACCGGTAAAAGTATTCATACATTGCCTAAAAAAGTCCCCAGAGAAAGAAAAACAAAATTCATCTGAAATGATCCCTACAAATATACCTCCTTAGCTACAACAAATAACTATACCTTAGAATATTCCAGATAAAGAAATTCATTCAAGCAGGAGGAAAAAATACACCTGTACTTCTCAATCCAAACATATTGCAAAAAATGAGTTTATAAAAGAATATGTATTGGGCGCCCCAGTGGCTCAAGACTCTTTAAAGACAGAATTCAACCTGACTGTTAATTTACGTAATTATCCGAGGCAAAGCTGCAGGTGAATTTGATAAAAGTGGTGCTAGTTTTTAATGGTCAAACTGGCGTAGCGGGGTGTAACTTGACATTTTAATTGAGAAGACTAAACCGTGGCTTACAGTGGAAGATTACATCAAGAAAGGTGTAAAGTTTAATTTCGACTTAATATTCCGGGAGAAGCTACGGCGGCACCACGAGTACTGAGACCTCTGATAGTGTGGAAGTGAATTGATGTGAGATGTGTTTTATCCTGTCTTCTTTCATACAGACCCTTCAGTTTGATCCAAAGCAGCTACCCATGACCTAAGACCTTGGACCACACAGGAGTTGGCTTTAAAGTCCAAACTGTGTGATACGTTCCAGCCCAACATTTACAGTTATATTGGAAGATAAATCAAACATGAAGGACACAGCAATAGCACCTTCTGTCTATTTGCATGGAAAAGTAGAAAGAAAAAATGAGTGTGTCTTTATGCTTCATACAGTCACAGGGAATATATTTTGTGTTTTGTAAAATCATTTATCAATCAGTCAGGTGATGTCAGAAACCTAAATTGTAGATATATATATTTAAATAATGTATATATCTGACTATGGGATGCTGTACTACTATGCACAGTAAGCATTATTCAACACGAGTCCCTCCTCATACCTACAAACAGTAAGATTTTCTGAAGGTGAATAGATAAGCCAATGATGAGAATGTCAAGAATTGGAATTTATTTAGACCAATCAGGAGTCTGCACTGTAAATATGGGCGGGGCTAACCAGTGCTTTTCTTGAAGAAAGTTTGACTCAGAATTCATTTAAATGGTGTGGGCATTTTTCAAGCAAGTTGAAGCAGTCAAAATGTCAGATATGAACAAATACAGGGCTGGGAATATATGTTGCTCATGGTATTCTGCAATATATCCCAGTTGGTTTGTATTTCCACAACAATATGAAGGACACTCAATAGCCAACCAGTGATTATATGGCAAATACTGTATACTCCACAAAAGTTCTCTAAACAAGTAACACATCTTAAATTGGAAAAAAAAGAATCTTGGCAGTATGAACCCATAATATATTTGAAAAACTAGGTGTTAAAGAAAACCAAAAGAAACATTTACATTGCTTTCTTCAAGAAGAATATCAAGGGACAAGGGGTTCAACTTTTTACAGGATATGCTATACAGTAGAAAAGGCAGATACACATCCAAACAGCCAACTTTGCAGGAGGCCCATTGCTTCAAATAGTCTCCCAGTGTGAAAAAAAGAATGAAAAAGTGAGATTGGCCACATCAAAAGAAAAATCTGGTTGTGTAAAACCTCCGGGGTATACTTCACAGGCCTCCGGTGCGATTACTCTTCTGCGTCCTACCAGCTGAGCTCCGCACTGCTGAACAATTGTCAAGACATTACATTTTCCCGTCCACAGTCCCTGCCTCATACTGGGCCTCCCCTGCGGACTATGGCCCGGATCAAACCCTATTACTTATAACACTTTCCACTGTAGAATCCTATCCCCCTAATAGAGACTTGGGACATCTCGCCAAAGAAGCCATTTCTCTTTCTCTCTCCTCATGCGCCCTTGCTGCTTAGGAACTTACATAACGCTTTTTTAAACTCTTTCCTCTGACTGCGGTGTCATCTCCAACACAAAGCAGCAAGTCTGATCCCTCATTATGTAAAGACACAAAATGCTAGCGATGTGCCCCTGTGATGTGGCGCGCTAATGAAGGAATGGGATAACCTTGATGAAAGCCGCACGTATTCTTACCAGGGCGGAGCGCTAAGTGGGTCAGGGCTGAGAATCGTTTGTAAAAGATGAACTACGTGGAGAGCCGCTGGTCTTAAAAGTGGTGTCAGCGACTGGGGAGAACTGTCAAGTCACGTCGAGAAGTTCCTATAATCGTACAGGGATTTGAATACGCGTTGTAGAGTTAGAAAAAAGAAAGAGAAAAGTCCGGGAGAATTGACTTTAATCGTTGCTCCTGAAGCGACGATTACAAAATGGGAGGATTTAGGAAGACCATGTATACCAATTTACTCTATTGCCAAATTATGTATGTATAAGGAGTAAGGAGTGGACAAAGTTGGTTAGAGTTAGCTCGAACAGGCTATATGAGCAAGAATGTGGAGCCAAATGTATGCAAATCTGTAAGGAACAACGTCCGAGCACACAATAGCCAATCAGAAGTGGTGCCGCCCTGTCCCCGCTCAATTACTTGCTAGCTGTAGCCGAACTTGGCGACAAAAGACACCTGATTGGTCAGTTGTTAAGACTCATATATGGATTTACAAAGACATTATCAAAAAAACATCAGGATCATATAGAACGCTAAGCCACAGATGTTTTTAAGCCCAAAATAGTGAGTGTGCCACAAACGGTTTGAAAGCTAGAAGAGTTTACTTTTCAATGTAAGTCGATAGGAGCCAGAGCAAGTAGGAGCAAAACATCGTCCATGAGCACTTCTCTATTGGGCTTGTATGGCATTATCCATCTATATAGGTCTATAGAAGCAAAGCTTTTTAAATTGGACATGTGTTCTAGAGGTTGTTGTTTTGCTTATGGTATTTTGGCACAATATGTTTCTCTAATTACTCAAGTTTTAGCCAGATAGAATAACTTGCTTTTTATGCAAGGGGACATACGTAAGCCTGTAATATTTTATTGTTTGCAAAATACTGTATCACTGATGACAAGTAGATAGTCTATAAGGAAAGTTACATGACAGATACAAATAAAATGATGCAATAATTGTGAGAAAAGACATTAGACTGCGACCATTACTCATGATTTGCTCTATGACTACGTACTAATGTTTCTCGCTGTATAATGAATCCTTGAAGTTTGTAACTATCTACACTTTTATGATCAATTTAAAGTGACAAAGGTTTTTGTTGTGGGAAAGAAAAGAGAAAACCTACAGTACAATAAAACTTGCACAAATGCCTCGTCAGCTGGTCTTCTCCGATGGGACGCTGGTGCTTTGTCGTCTCTGTCTCTAGAGCGGAGCTAAAATGTCTGTGTGCAGTAGCAGCGAAAGGCCAGACAGACCTTTATGATCAAACAGCATCAGCCACACTGCACTAACTTCTGGGATCCAATCCAGAAGAAACTTTGGAGATGAGCCAACCACACAGTCAAAAAACTTTTTTCCCTATTCCAAAGTCTTGTCGAACTTAATTATATCTTTAGACATGCAATTTTGTAGAAGGGACCAAATCTTGTTACAGTTACCAATTCACTTCAACCAATTTCACAAAAATGAAACTACATATAAGCATTACTTTGGAAGTCTAACTCAGACAGATCTGGAACTATTATTGTTTTTTTAATATAGGAGTCTATATAAATAATAATAATAATGCCTTAGACCAGGGATGTTAAATTAATTTAGGTCTCGGTCGTATTGTATTGTATTGTATGTACTTTATTTGAACAGTTCCAATTCCAATTTTAGAATTAAATAGTTGTTTTCTTGATAAATTCAGCTTTATAATGAGGCCCCAGCCACGGTAACCATAGTGACATTTTACAATCAATGCTGCAAGTTAATCATAATAATTTCAGGGCTATTAAAAAGGCCTCACAGGGATGAGAATCCGGCCCATGTGTTTGTCACAAGCGCCTTTTAGTGCGCATTTGTGTGTAAGTTCCAAGTGAACTAAAGTTCAGAAGTGAACCAGTTCATTCTGCTCTAACTCTGCAGACTGCAGTTAAAATAATCCCCAGGTTTGATGCTCACAAATAAAAAGTCATTAGTGCTTTCAGCCCGTAACACAATGATCCCAGCTTCATCAAGGGTCAGGCAGGGTCTCTTCTCTGACCGAGTGCGTCCTCATAACGCTGCGTCGTCGCTCATGGAGAATAAATGAAACTGTTGATCATCTCGAACACTCAGAAAGTGGGTCATCGGCAGAGAACTAATGAGGCTGCAGGTTTATGTAATGTTGGGGCTGAAGTGGTGACGACGCGGGTGTTGAGAGATCGCCTTTGGGTGTCGAGTGCAAATGAAAACTTACCGCACCATGGTCTTCAGGAACCAGGGTTTGTGGGCGATGGAGGGCACGGCCTCGTCCATCAGAGGGTGCAGCTTGATGAAGTTCAGCGTGTCGTCCGGGAACTCGTTGGAAACCTTATACCTTTCCATGGACGCAGAGCCAGCACATGTTCCCGGTCTGCAGAGAAAAGTAGGAAATGTTATGGTGATGTTAAAGAAAATTCTAAGATATGTTGAAGAAAATTAACACTAATTAATCCAGTTTCAAAGTGACGACAATGTTGGTTTGTGGTTTTGATAAAGGACAGTTCTTTTGAAATGCTGCACAGTGGCTGAGTGGGCTTAGTTTGTGCTTCTAATTAAAAAAGTAGCCTAGGGTACAGAATGCATTTACAAACACTCAGAAAAAAACAGACCCTTCAAGGCATCCACAAAAATGTAATTAGAATGTATTTGTCCATTTTCATATTTCCTCACGGTTTTGTCATTTCTTTGAATTAAACAGCTGAGTTGCTTTCACCTTATTAGATATATGAGTGGAATGATAAAATGATTCATGGTTGCTTATATCAAACCTCAGAAAACTCACTGTCACCACTCCACAGATGTGACCAGAATTAATATTAAATACAAACATGTTAAAAGATTGAGTTGTTTTTACTCTCCCGGTGTAGCATTGGGATAGGCCAGACCGATACCATTACTTACCCTCTACTGAAGGTATTATTTCACGTTCTTAAACATGACATGGCAAAGTGAATTGTTGCATAAAATAATTGAATGGCCAAAGATAAAGCGTCATATTCATTATTTTAAGATGTAAAGTATTTTCAAACGCAACACAACTCTTACAAATGAAGTTTTTAATCTTACCAACTTCAAGAACATGGACTTTTCATCGTGCACACAGAGCTTCAAAGTGAGGCTACAAGAACACTTTCAAACTCAATCATCCTCAAAACTATTTATAATTGTAATGTACTTGCTGAGAAGGAATTTCATTTTTGAAGCTAAATGAGTGCAAGTAATTGCTGTTGTGGATCAGTAACACGGTCTGTAAGACTGATGATAAATGCCCAATATTAACAAACCAAAATGGAGAAGATCTGAGAGAGTAATTGTCCCTGAATCACTTAATCTAAATGAGGGAAAAAAAGATTCCCAGTTTATGAAGGAGTCAGACCAAAACTTCCATAAAGTAGCACTAAAAAAAACGTGGAATTTGTAAAGCTCCAAAGAGATACATTAGCATAAAAACAGACAAAAAAGACTAATAAACAATGCAATAATCTTATAAATTACTACTTTTACCCGTCATGGTAACCACATTATTTTAAATTGGCTTTAAATATGATTTTTTTTTTTTTACTTTTGAAAATCTCCGTTGTTTTATAATGGATGTGCTCGGGGTAAAGTACCAAATTGTGCAAATTGTGTCCCCTAAATACAAACCATCTTTTTACAGTGCATGTATGTACAGTGTACATAAAGGCAGACTTTTGAGAGGCCTTGCCTTCCTTGGCCCCTGGGTCTATAGACACGGCTTAATGTCATACATTTGAGGCCATGCATTAATATACAAGGACAAATAGGTTAGCAGCCACGCAGATTTCTGGTCTGGAAATTGTTTTCTATCAAACAGAAGATTTTAAGAGATGCTTTGATCCTTCGCCTGTAAGACTGTAACAGATCTGTTAAACATTTTATTACTATGGTTAGTAACTTTTAGAATTATGTATTTATCAATGTTTGGTTGGATGATTGTGTTTCCGCTGCTGAATACCTGAATTTCTCCTACAAGTTCTATCTCTATCTTCTAAATGTAAATTCCAATAATTGTCAATTTCCACCATTCATCACATCATTTTCAAGTTCTTGCTTTATCCATCACCCCCACGTAGTAGATTAAATCATGACATTTTCAGATTCAGACAACTTTGAGCACCATCAGAGCATTGTAATAACATTTAAAAAACACCCAATCACAAGAAAGCCAATGAAAACATAGAAGTGGAGCCATTCTGTACATTCAGAGTTTGATGGATTGTGTGGCGTTGGTGTGGTTCCAGGTACCGTCTGACGCGCATCGTGGTGGACAGCGAGGCGGGCCCCCACAGGAACCACACGGTCGTCTTTCTGGGATCGGAGAAGGGAATTATCCTCAAGTTTCTGGCCAAGATGAACAGCGGCTTCCTCAACGACAGCCTTTTTCTGGAAGAGCTCAACGTCTACAACCCTGACAAGTACGTGCAGTATATTCTACCTTGGCGTGTGTGGGAGACGCCACATGTCAAAGGCTTGTTGTGTGAGGCAGTGCAGGCCTGGAATTAGAGCTACACGGAAATGTACTTTTTAAGGGGAAAATCATGAACCTGCATAGTTTAAGTTTAGGGATGTGAAAAAAAGCAGAAACATTTGAATTTATGGTAAAAGTTGAGGGATAGCAGGTGGATCGTATTTTGCCGTTGGATGGTTGCCTGGCCATTCTGTTACTACAAGAACCAGAAGATTTGACTTGTTTTGGATTATAATTTTGAATGATTTAGATTCATGAATGTTCAGGAATGTCCAAACTATGGCCCAGGAGCCAAAAGCGGCCGGCAGATCAATGTTGATTGGTCCAGAAGTATCTAAATGACCTAAAAAGTGTAGTTTTTTAGTCAAAACCAAAACCCAATTGCATAATCATTCTCAAACTAAGTCTATGTAAATATGCAAAGCAGAAATCACAACTGTAGCATCACAGAGTTTTCAATATGCAAACAGCAGATGAGAAAATCAAATAAATAGATCACGTCCAACTATAAAACAGTGAAATGGTCCATAGAATAACAGGTTAACCAATGTCCATATGTGTATATTTAACGAGATTTTTTTGTTTAAGATTCCCTAATCCTTTGTTGTGTTCTAAAACCCGTACAAACCCATGAAATCAAACAGAAAATGAGGACTAAAAACGAAAACTTTTTGAATGCAAAAGGTGAGACCGATAATTCACTTCGTAAGGCAGAAAGCTGGGGCTAAAAGTTCAATGTATTGCGCTCATGGATCTTGTTGCTGAAATGTTTTTTTTCTATGACCGAGTACATGGTTCGGTCCACGTTTCCACCCGCTGCGCCAAACCACCATCACCAGCGGCCTGCTCCCCTCCACTCAAAAGCAAAGTAAACGTGTCCAGATGGCGACTCTATCATCTCAGAGTTTTATCCGGTTTCAGTGAGCTCCAACCAAAGAAACTAAATTAAAGACACTCTGCCTCGTCCAGGGTTGAGGTCAGTGGCATCGACGCGAGCAACTCCCCCTGAACTTTTCCTTATGTAGACATTACATACAGTACATTATTTATTCAAGCGTTTTTTGTGACGTGTATTTAGTTGCATGCCGTTTTCAAAGCCACTTGTGCAAGCAACCACTGTTGAAATATTTGGATTACTCCCAAACCTATAATTTCATTTTTTGTCTATTTGTTAAACTTATGTTTCAGATATGGTTAAGTTATTCAATTTGCGCATTGCAAAATTATCTGAAAGTCCAAATATTTACTCTCCTAAGTCTCAGAGTCATTTATATTTTAGGCATATTAAAATGAAGAAAAGGTATTCTTAATTAAACCTTTAAAAATATTATGAGGTAATAAATGATTGAAAGGATGGTGTTCGGCGTCTCGCTTCTGTCATCACCGTGTGGGAATGGAAAAATATCTCATTTCTTTCTGAACATTGTAAAGCGCTTTGGGTGACTTTGGTCTGTAAAATCTGCTATATAGATAAACATGACTTACGTACTCACTCCCCGACCCAGAAATGGATTAAGGGGAAGAAAATAGATGGATCGATACTTACTGGAAAATGTAGGAATGCCATAAAATCCAAGTTCTTTGCTCTAAAACAATTTTGTTTTATCATGAGTTTTCACATGCATATATGTTTGGGTTCTCTCACATCTTTAGATCCTATTTTTCAGGCAGAAAAGTGAAAAACAAAGGCACACTTTCTAATTTAACCAGTCAGCTCTTGGTCCAAAGTCTCAAAAACTGGCTCACAGGGCATGTGTGCAAACAATACAGTGTTTTGTATTATGATAAAGACAGCATTACGTTGTTTAACACTTATTTCTACAATCCACTCTCAAACAACATTAATATTAGAAAATTAGGTACCTCAGATTTATATCCAAGATCTAGTTACTCACTACCAATACTAAATGTTAGGATTTTTTTTCTTTTACATTGACCATTGTGCTGAGTTTGGCAAAGCATGGTTACATTTTCAAAGAAGCAAAAGTGTGCCAAAGCAAATATTTGGATGAGGGGTAATGGATGAGGTGGAACGAATGGACGTACAAACAGAGAAAGAGAGGGCGTCGTGAACGTCAGAGAGAAGACGGAGGTGTAGGCGGCCGGCAGAACGTGGTATTGTGCTGGACAAGATGGAGGAGCGGGCGGCATTCAGGGTTAACGCTCTTTGTAGTCTGCAGCATGTGGTTGGGCCTGCTCCGTGAGCCGTGGTGGCAATTGCATAACCAGCTTTTTTATCCATGTGTATTTAGGCTCAATAGTTAAGGCGCCCGTCGAAAGATGTCTTTGCTGAGCTGATTTTGGTTTAGTATTCTTTACCACAGTATATGCAAGAAATAGTGTTGGGGTACATTATTTTAAAACCACAAAAAATGTTATAATATGTCAGCAAAAAGCATGTATTGGTAAAAGCTGGGGAACCTAACTTTTAAGAAGGTTTCATATAAGGCCATGCATCCCAATAGACATATCTAGCATGCTGGATCCAAAAATGTGCAAAAAATGAAAAAAGAGAAAGATTCGTAGAGCTATGTTGCTTCCAAAGTGTCTTTTTTTAGTGGATGAATGAATGTTTTTATTTTGGTCAATTGTTTTATTAATAACAGATTTTACATTCACTGACTGTACATTCAACAATTCTGTCAAAAATAACACAAAATACATATTACTGATTTCAAAATCAAAATACAAACATACTAGAACAATGTCATTTTTTTCATCACTTGAGGCTCTTCATCAGACAAGTTTAAAAGTAAGAACCTAACCTTTTAACCACAAAAGATGCAGCTTTGTGATCAAATCTCACTGGCACAACTATAAGCTGGTCAAGTGGGAAACAGAGGACTATTCTTGTTCAGCCGATCAGCTCTCCGCCCCAAAATGTCCAAAAGTGACTCGTATTGCTTTGTCAAGTAAAGATTGCAAAATATATATTATGTTTTTCTAGCAAAATTAAGTCTTGTAATGCTGTTATATGATTCACAACATTTATCTTTTAGAAGGTTCTTTCTGATGAGACAAACAAAATGTATTATTTTTGAAAATGAAATAGTTGTGTTCCCCAGCTTGAATTTATTCTTAAAATTAAATACATATTTTAAAGGGACTGGAAAAAAAAATGGGCATATGTTTTCAGAGTAGAGACTCGTATTCCAAAGTTTTTATCAAATGTGAACAGAGGTGGTCTGAGATTTCTTCGAGTCGTTCATTACAGATTCAGGAGGGTCAAAGGACAGCGACGATCCAGACCAGGACATATATGGGCATTTATAAACATTTATGGACATTGACCACCCCACTCCCTATGGACCAATGACTTTTACAGTATGTGTTCATTTTATTGATTTTATTGTGTTCAAACTGTGCAGAAATACACTGAATTGAATAAGAATTGTCAATGATTTTAATTGATTCGTTATATGCTTTATTTTGAGCCATTCAAAAAGATTACATTCTGCGCTATACAGAAAGTACTTTACCCACAACAAGAGAACGAAGAACAAAACAAAAGAAAAATGGTACAGGGAGGATCTGGACAACATATATTATTATTTCAGAAATTTAAAAGGGGTTTTCAAGGGTCAGTAAATGTGTGTTTTATTTTGTCACTCTTCACTCGCTCTCAATACAGTATGTACAGTTCAGTCCTAGTGCATACTGTTGAATTGCTCTTAAGTATGACATAAAGTATGACTTTTCCATACAATCATAGAGCATACATAAACATGGCATGATTGTGTTGTGTACGTTATTGCCATCTGCCTCCGGTGCAGTGGGCAGGCCGGCCTCTCTGTGTGCAGACAGTCTGGGGCTCACACTGCATTAGTAGAGATGGACCTTAACCCTTAATTGAGAGCGATAATGCCGTTTGAGAGCCCTGTACTGATAGATTAAGCCTTGGGAACGGGAGGATGGAGAGTGACAGGGCCCATAAGGATTACAGTGGCACAAAGAGTAGTGCGAATGCCTTGTAAAGAAGGGGTAGGAAGGTTTTTCAGCTAAGTGCGGGGTTAGCGCTTGCTGCTCACACAACCCATCTGTCTATTTGCTATTTCTTTATCGCTGACTCTCTTTCTGACCCCTAGTTTATCTCCGGCACTCCCCGACCTGGCAGTTTTTCTTACCTGCCTCGTCTTAATCTCCTTTAAAGAACTCAAAGTCTTATACCGATCTCTCGAGTCTCTCTCAAACTTTTTCCAGCAACTTATTTCTCCTGACAAAGACGCTTGGATCAAAGATTGAGCTCTCCCTCTGCTTCCCCCCCTCCTGTCGGTTCTTTCAGGTGCAGTATAGATGGTGTTGAGGACAAACGCATCGTCGGTATGCAGATAGACAGCAAGAGCCACGCGCTGTGGGTTGCCTTCACCTCATGTGTGGTTAAAGTGCCGCTGTCACGCTGCGAAAAACACGGACGCTGCAAGAAGTATGTGTCAACTATTCCCAATACAGCAGCGTCAAGTGACATTTGTTTTATTTAAAGGTGTGTTTGATTTTCCTGTCATGTTCCAGGTCATGTATAGCCTCCAGAGATCCGTACTGCGGTTGGGTGTCAGAGGGAGCTTGCCGGGAGGTGGTTGGCAACGTCAAGTAAGTGAAAAAAAAAAAAACAATGTACATAGTTGTTGTACAAAGCAATGTGTTGTAGCAGAGTGGTTAGCATCCCTGGTTTACCACAGCATCACTCATCTCGTTCACCTGCACAGAACTCGGTGTGTTTTCGTTCTTTTCTGTTTAATGGTTTCCTCAACCATTCGGTGCAACACTTTTCAGTCACTGTATCTACGTGAAGCTTGGTTTTAGGGACTTTTACCATCAAACTGCATCTCAACCATTTGGTAGAGGCCTATAATTAAAACAAATATACAGGGGTTAAATAAACATAACACATCAAAAAAAAAAAAAACATTTATTTGTATTATTAGTGCTCCTACATCTTAGAAAAAAATAAAATAAAAATAAATAAATGCTTTGCAGGATTGGGCAATGCTAACTCTCTGGCTCTATGAAGCGTGATAGGGAAACTCCTTGTACTCTGTAACCGTTTGTGTCGCACTCACCATTTTGGACGTAAACATTTCCGATCCTGGTATTTAGATGTTGAAAATATCCACATATGAGCAGATATTTAACTGACCAATCAGGTTATTTCTGCTCCTGAATTTGGCCATGGCTCACAAGTAGCGTGAGCAGAAACAGATTAGTGGCACTCCTGATTGGCACTTTGGTTGCTAGGTCGTTGTCATCCATGAAGCCTGGTCATGGAGCCTGTTTTGAGCTAGCTCTAATCAGCTTCTCAGCTTCTTCCACAATCTATCTATGAATAGTTTTGCTTTAGGGTTTTATTCAGATAATCACACTTTTGTCAAACACATTTACTCATCTCTTTAACTTTGAGCATATTACTTTCAGATTTGCTGGGAACGTCATTGCTCACAAGTTATTGACCTGACACAAAGTAAATGGTTTTTCTTGTACAATTTGTGAACTTTGGAGGGAGTGGAATTATTCCATCAGATCTAAATACACAACCAAATATTTTTAGCTTGGCTTTTTCTTATCCCATAAATGCTAGTCTTGTTCCAGTCCAGACCCGTTGACTTGACAAGGTAATTAGGCTTGACAGCAACTTTATAACTAAAACATTTAATGCAGATAACTTATAATATATCTTGGTTAGTAAAAATGACACAGTAGCATTTGTCATAAATATTCACCCGACTAGATTTGAATAAAATACTTTTCCAACATTGCAGGATTTAGACTTTTATAAGTGACTGTGTGTTTTTTTATAGCAGATAGCTCCAGTGAACTCAACCATTTCCAGATTATTAGTGTTAGTTTTATTACATATAATTTAACAGCTCATTGCTCAAGTTGCTGCCCTTTATGGTAACTCCATATCACTGTAATAATAACATCTTTTGTGGGTTTTTATGCTTCGGCTGGGCTGGAATTGTAAAACGAGACGACATGGGGCGACCACGCGTTGCTACAGTCTATTGTACAATGAAAACGTCAAGAGACTACTGATTTTGGAGACGTTCTAATACCAGTAAATCAAGTTGTTCTCGTCAAATTAAAGTTGAAAATCGCTTTTTTTGATATTTTGTGTTTTATGAAGCACAAGGATTTGATGAACACTGTCTCCGGCGTGACTCGTAATCACACACCGTCCACGCAATTGCAGCAATAAACAAGTATTTTCAGACCACACTCAGAGCTGTTTGTTTAGCCATTAAAACAATGACTATCTCTGAGGCAATGGTATATTATTGCACATTGATAGATGTTAGAGTGCGCTTGCAACTTTTATTAAGCGATATCACACAATGCTTGTCACGCTAGATGGCTTTTGTTTCTACAATTTGTCGCATTGGATTTTTCTAATTTAATGGCTTGTAGGTGTAATTTTCCTGCAGAGGAGAGACCCGTTGGAAGGAGGGTTGGAAAGACAGAGTTGTTAGTTGCGTGCAGGCTCGGCGAAGGGAAACTTTGATGGCCGTGGCGACTGTACGTTGTGGCAGTACCTATAATAAAAAGGCGGATTATTCTCCCTGAACAAACAGTGTATGGAGTTCTGTGGTCGGGAGAAACATTTCACTGATGAAGTCATAACAAAAAGAAAGTCCAGTCGGTGCAGCGGTGCCTATTTGTAGTTTGATCCCTATTTTCCCAAAAAAAATTGAGTTTGGCAAGCGATGACCACGGACTTATGCGCACAAGGAAAAAAAACACACATGAAACGTATCCTATTTTTTTGAGTGCAGCGCCTTTAACAGATCGAGAAGGCATTAAAGTGGTGTATTAGATTTGATAAGATTATATTTGATTGAGCTTTATTGGCATTACGATGTCTGAACAATGCAACAAAATGCTGTTTAGCATCTAACCAGAAGTGCAATAGTGCAAGTATGAGATAATATTTACAACACAGATAAATATAAGCATTATGTGAGACTGTACAAAGCTCTTGCTGGTATACACATTAATTGTATTACATTGCATTAAAGTGCTTGTGATCTCTGTGTTACTGGAATTACATTTAAAACAAGTGTATCTGTACTTTGTGATGTGTCATTTTGAGCCAATGATTAATAATTCATGGTTCATTCCAGCAGGAAATACAGTATTTTTAAATTATTGTAGCTGTAATTGTATTTAATTTAGATTTTAATAATTTTACTTGGCCCTGAAGCAGTACTTTTACATAATCATCTCTGGCTGAATTTCAGTTAGCTCTGACCCTCATGAGCAAAAGTCACACAACAGCTTCCAATCAACCATTATGGCGGTAAAAAAAATAAATGAATGTGAAAAATGTGTATTTACAGCTTAATCGTTTATCTTTCTTCCTCACAAGACATTTTTCTGCCTTTCTCGTTGGCGATGCACAACATAGTAATTTACTGACTCTCACTGTAGGAAGTGAGAGTCAGTAAATTACACTGATGTGGTAAAATGTATAGCACAGTCTACAGTTGACATCACCGCTCAGACAAACATGTGTAAAAAGGAGTGACAAAAATATTTTTATGGGAAGCAATCCAAATGTTGACACCAGTGAAACCAAAGCATTTTCTTTGTATGGCATTATTTTGCGAGAAACAGCATTCTTTCCTCTTTCTTAAGTAGCATATGTAAGAGTAGCTTTATTTGGCTACTCTACTCCCCCGTGGTGAATAAAAGCATTTTCCTTGTTGTTAGGCATACTTGCTCTTTTGGCATCCCTGCTGCTGTTTCCCAGTTTTCTCCTTTTTTATAGCAAAATAAAAAAAGAACAAATCTTAAAGAAAAGCCAAGTTTGAAATACTTTGGTAGAATTCTTACTCAAGCATAGATATAGATATAGCATGGGAAATTAAACCATTTGGAGCTGATCAAGATTTAGAAACCACAATAATATATTTGATTTTCAATATAATTAGGTCACATTGGCTGTAATCTTTCCCGTCTATTTCATCCATCTGTACGTATCTATTCTGTACCTAATCTTCACGGTCCTCCTGTCCTTGTCTCTGATGTCGCTCACACTCTCTGCTTCTCTTCTCCATCCATCTGGTCCTTCACCGGTGGCCTGCCAGATCTCCCATGTGCAGCAATGCCTCTTCTACCTACTGCCCATAAACAGCTTGGATTGGAAATATGTTCCCCAGTCCTCCCTGTCCATGCATATAATCATAAACGGGTCATGTAAACAAGTCCATGTTTACTAATTACTGCTTTATGGGTGATTTAGAGTTGATTAGACCCAGATATTGCAGCCAAGTGTGTGAGTGCATCAGAGTCAGGGCTTAAATACATGTATTGTAGGTCTAGGGCAGTAATTATGGATTCAATGGATAAGAATGTGTGCCAGAACCTTTTTTATAGATAGGAAATCACAGTGGAAACAATATCATCACCAACATTGGCTTTGATTTTCATTCAAAAACAATAAAAACACACACACACACACACACAAAACCCAAATATCTGGTTATTTTATTTTGGGGACGCTTAACAGCCCATAGCACTTTATCCAAACTTTTTCACTTTACAGCATATTTGCACTGAAAATTAGCGTTGTGACATCCTCTCTTGTTCTTGTTTTCTTCAGTGTTGTGATTCTACTGTGTCTGGCTGTTTTTAGATGATTGTTTTCTGCTAAACTGATTTACAATTTCCAATAATGATAACTTGGACTTGAACATGGGAAAAGGCTTGCTTCTGCCCCCTGTGCTAGAGATATTGTGCTAGGTTGCTATTATCCTCTCCATTAAAGTAAATAATGATTGATAGAATAATCTGAACTCCCATTGAATCGTTGAGCCACCTACAGAGAGCACTGTCGCTTTCAGATCTTCCAGAAAAAATATCTTGAAGGTATATTGTGCATATTTATAACTTGGTAATGAACCAGTGTTTTTAGCCTTAGATTAAAATGAGATAATAAAGTTGTCAAAAATGGTAAACATTGGAATGAACACACATTTATACATTCATTAAACTGTAAAAGATGCAACATTTGTCCACCCAGTTCAAATCCATATACTCTATTTCCCACCTAATTCTTATGATTTTAGATACTTAGGATACAGTACATTACAATGTATGAAGGACAGCCTTAGTCTTGCTGACGGCACATTGCATTAAAACACTTATACATAATTAATTCCTTTTTTTTTTCCTGACCCATTTCAACCGCTCAGAATCCTCTTGGTGCACCCACCCCATCGCTCATGATAATCGCATTTGATGCAAGAAATATCATAAAAAAATGCAGAATGCCTCAAGTTGTGTACAGTGAGGCCTGAGCCAGCTTTATGCATAATACAGCCGTAGTAGTTCCTCACCCGTGGCTGAACTGTCTGTAGTGGTGTGTTGAATGAACTAGTGTTGCCATAGTGCTGCCTCTCTGGGACCTGAACCCTGCCACTGCATTTTAGAGCTACAGTTTGTTCATTTACAAAGATGAGAGCAGACGCTACATCTGGACTGTGACTCCTCATTGCTAATTCATTCAGAGTGCAAAAATCTACTGACTGTATTTCACATCTCCGCAACACTCCGTTCGGTCGTGGTGTTATTGCCTCAAAGGCCGGTTCCTCTGTTTCGATGATAGTCTAACACTGGAGGCAAAAGGCATGAGTGTCATAGAAGTAATTACTGCAATTAAGTTTTAAATTTGTACTTTCATGGCCTGGTGATATAGCACACAAAAAAACGCATTTCCTCACAGATGAATCCCATTTGAAACTGCTGTATCTCATTGATCTGACTGGGTTGAAATGCCATGTCGACCTGGGACAAGAGTGTGAAAGGTTGGCGTGTAGGATTTTCACCACAGAAAACAGGAACAGTGTAAAAATATAAACATTTTCAAACATATTTTTGTAACTACATATAAAGGGAAAAAAACAGCATGGCATTGGCAGTAAGATCTTTAGATCATTATGAAAAGTATTGTCTCTCATGTGACTAGTGTGTAATTTTAACCATTATAACCCATATAAGCAATGGGCTTTAAAACTGTTTAATTTTATTGCTCTCTGAACACACCTTGGCAAAAAGACTACCTCCCCAGGCGGGTTAAATGGCAAGTCGATTTGACAGAGCCCCTTTTGCTCAGTGTGAATGAGCCTTAAGGTCTACCAGAGAAGGTGGGAAGGTTTACCAGAAAATTCAGATTATAATGGGCGGCACAGTGGCGCAGTGGTTAGCGCTTGTACCTCAAAGTAAGAAGGGTCTGAGTCCACCTTCAGGAGTTTGCATGTTCTCCTTGTGTTTTTGTAGGTTTCCTCCGGGTGCTCTGGTGTCCCCTGCCTCTAAAAACATGTACAACACGTCTGGCATGCGCCTCCTCTACTGCGACCCTGCTCCTATCTCTGTGCGGAGTGACAGACAAATGCCCACAATTGTAAAGCGCTTTGTGACACTGGTCTGTGAAAGGCGCTATATAAATATAGATGAATAACTTACTAACTAGTCCGGTGACAAGGCTGTATTGATCCCCTGTTGCCTGTAGGTTCCATAAAGAGCTCAACTTATCTTATCTTCAGAAACATGGATATCGGAATTACAGTTGGCGTTCTAAATCATCTTTAACATTTCAAGCTTATTGAAAAACGCCTTTATCCAAGAAAAGGTAAAAACCCGGAGCGCATTCAAGCTCTATTATTTTGTGTCAGTTTGAAATTCCCCGAAACGTACCCAATTCCCAATTCTCTCCTTTTCAGAATTGGCTGTTATTGTGATGAAATCCCTCACAACAGTTTTGTCATCGCTGCGGAGGATACATTTCACAAATCCGATTGCTCGCTTACAAGGCGTTTCTCCGTAGACAGGTTTAATTGGAGAACCTAGCATCTGCAATGTAATTACATCTGTTTATATTAAGCAAATCACATAAGCAGATTACATTCACCTCCAGATATGCAAAGAGGGGAACACTGTTGTTTGAAAAATCGTTTTTAAAAAGGGTGAGATGTATCACCCCCACTCCAATTAAGCCTCTGTCAAGTGGAGAAAGGGCCGTGTTTGGTGGAAAACAAGAAAAGGACAAAGACTTGGAAAATTGATGGTGATTGTGAGATTGGAGAACACAATAATCCCACAATATGAGGCCGATGTTATTGCGATCGTAATGCGTTTGCATCTGATGTAAATGTTTAATGAAATAAACACTATAATACAACATAATATTACAAACTGGCAACCCTCTTATCAGATGACGGCTCTAAAATTGAGCATAAATACACAATTTAAAAAGCTGGCGTGGCTGACGTTCTTGTAAATAAGTTAATTGTGCTGCTCTGAATAGATTACATGAAATAATATTTACAAAGTATTATTTATTCTCTCAATATATGGCGCTTAAAGCTGGGGTATCGAACTTCCAGACCACAACTAATGGAAGCATAATACAAATCCATATAAATCCTTGCCTCCAAAATAGTGTGAACGAACTTTAGTTTTAGCTTCTGTCTCATCTCTTTTTAGACAGAAAAGTGACAATTAGAGGGCCAACCTCACTCAGCCAATCAGCTCTCAGCCCAAAGCATCAACTAGTGACCATTAGGGCTCTTTCTGATAAGATAAAGGCTGATAAAGGCAGCATGTCATGGTCTGATTCGTTCACAACATTTGACTTTTACAATAGTCTTTCCTTTCTCAAGTACAAAATGTGTTATTTATGAAAGGATTTTTCAAGTATCCCAGCTTTAATCTCTTCTTCACTCTTACCTATAATATTTTTCAGTGCAGACTTGCCTTTGCCTCTTGTAAAAGTTGCTCTGAAGTACGGCACAAGCTCAAAAATGTCTAGATGGGAAGAATTTGCGAAGGCTGTGAGTTTTATGGGAACTAGATTATGTTTTTTTGTCTGTAAAAACCCCCAGCTATACACTATAATAACTCTCATCTCTTTAGAAAACAAAAAAACTACGAACTGCTTAATATTGACATGACAAACAAGATAAACATTTTCTATCGTTCTCATTCACCGCTCGTAAACAAATGGAGGCTTCCGTGTGGCCTTTTGAGGGTTTAGGCAATGATGTTTCTCCTTCATGCTACATGTGTGTGTGACCAGTGAAGGGTGAGGTAGGCTGTGCATGGGAGGGGGGGAGGAGGTGGGGGGAAGGGGGGATTGGGTTGGTCCGCTGAGAGAAAAAAAAGCTGGTGTGCGTGACTTTCATCCTGGTTGACAGTTGGAACCGCTCCGCTTCACAGATCGTCTTACTGTCGGCCCGGTGGTCGGCAAAAAAAAAAAAGAAGCACGTTTGGTTTGAGATTGACAAGTAGATGTCTCAGTGCAATGGCTCTGCTGGGTGCCATGATTGAGCCAGACGCGTGTTTACTCCTGACTGAACCAGCTGTTGGCCCATGTGATGACTCTCTGCATACATCTGACTGCTGCCAAGAGAAACAAAAAACAATCAGGCTGGACCTCTTCAAGGCCAGTTTTGCTCTACGACATGGTGCTACAGGGTGAAACGAAGGAAGGACTAATGAAGGAATTATGTGATTTAATGAAGGAATAAGAAAGTCCAGTGTAAAAACAAACTCGAAACACAGGAACCAGGAAAACCAACAAACATACAGACAATGGACCAGCAGCAAATGAGGACAGGAAGTAAAACTAAAGCAAACCCCAAGAGAACTTATGTCAAGATAAAACCAAATACCAAAATAAGAAAAATCCACGTCATGACAGGTCATCACTCTGCCTCACACATAAGAATTAGGCTTGAACTGGGGCTGTACCTAAAACTATATGATTTCATCAAAAGATAAAAAAAAAAAAAAAAAATATATTTGAATTATCCAAATACTGCGTGAACATGAAGCTTTTGCTATTTGCAGACCTATACTCACAGTGAGGAAAATTGACCCAAGAAATCCTCTAGACCCTATGACTTAAATCAGAGGCCTCCAACACTTTGCTCTGAGATTGATTTTAACAAAATAACAGAGAAGTGATCCACTCCTAATTGTGGAAGCAAGAATAGTGATACCCTTGGATATGGCTCAGCGACATTCCTAGAAAACAATTTTTTTCTTCATTTGCATTCATACTGCATTAAATTAGCCATTTTATGATTTGCAATGATAAAATGCAGTAATCAATAGCAACATGACATAAAGTAGAGACCTCTGGTTTGTTCCCCCACCAGCCCGACTAGTCCATTTGAAATTAATCCAGTATATAATAGCAAAGTTTGCGCATATCTCTGAAATAAGAACTATCTATGTCTGGCCTTTTGATCACTCCACACTATATACTATATTTCCCATACCAACACCATAGCACAAAAACAAGTCTATTTTTATTCCTAACTACACAGTCGACCTCTTCTATGGCAGTACCACCCTGACAATCCTCTCCACAAGCAGTGATTCCAGGCCTCCGGGGTACCTGCTTTCCAATGCGCTCCTCTTTGATTTAGTTCCAGAGCAGGCTTCTCTCTCAGCTGCCTACACTGTTTGCCTCCATCTTTGGGCCAATTTATTTGCAGCTCAAACCGTGGCAGCGTCTTTGTAAGGTGCGGTGGAGCTACTTATTGGCGTGTTTTTTTTTTCCATGCACTGACCGCCTTGTCTCTCTCCCCTCTCTCCCCGCAGATCGGCCTTTGAACAGGACGTGGAGCATGGCAACACAGATGGCCTGGGCGACTGCCAAAGTAAGCTCTCACAACCGTCGCATTCTCTCCCATACTACAGCAGGGTTCCAACACTAGTCCTCTTGCTGTCACCTTTTCTCCGTCGCTGCCCCCGTCCCCCGCCATGCGCGCTCGCTGCACCCTCACAATTTTCTCCTTTCATGCACGGACCATCCATCTGGCTTTTTTCTGCTGTCCCGCGTTCCGTGCCCCCCGCTGTGTGTCTGTGCCCCTCGGTCAATAGAGCGCTGTGTTCCTCGGTGGGCACAGTCTGGGCGCTAACTCGCTAAAGTGTTAAGACGAGACAACACAAATTTAGAAAGCGCTTTTTTTCTGGATCTGACTGTGCATTTTGTGAGAAGAGGGATACACAATGTGGAAAAGAAAAAGTCCAAAACGCAGACCGAAAACAGTTTCAATGGCGCAGATGGAGCTATTCTCAGACAGAGGACAGAGGAGATAAGGTTTCCAACACATCTGCAGTCGTAGTAGCGACAATTTTGCCAAAGCACATTTCAGCCAAGTACCCAGATGTCCTGAAGCTGTTTACAAATGATCACTGTCAAAATGTGCAGAAACTTAAAGCTGCTGTAACTTTTTGCAGTAATATTAAATTCTGTTTCTATAAGTAAAACATTTTCAACAAACCAGGCCACAACAGACTTTGATCTTTATGGGTTGGGTTTAGAATTAAAGTTAAAGTTAGGTACCAACACTAGAACTCCAGGAGCAGTCAATTTGACAGCATTTCATTTTGCAAAGTGTTTATACTCAGCTTATGTACGTTATTTGTCGTCATGACTTTTTCTATGTCGTAGAAAAACTATGTAGTTTGTATGTTAAAATGTTTGATCCATCTTGATCCTAAACTGGTTCAGAGCAATCTGAGTTTGGAGCAAGTACTAGTTACCATAGCAACACACTTGCAGCAGTTAGCATTTAGTTTACAATATTTATTTTATGTTCAGTTCTTAGCATGTACTAAAGATAAAAAAAAAAAAAAATTAACAGTAGTGAAAACATAAAACTGTAGAATGTGAATGGTTAAGTAGGATAATATAGCTTGTATTTTAAAGACGGGTATATTGTTTGTGCAAAAATGTCTTGTCTTGAAAATTTGAGTTCTTACTGTGAGCGGTGTCTCTGTAATTTTGTCTTATGGCATTTGCTGTGAAACATCTCAGGGCATTAAAGTATTAAAGCATTATACATATTTTGCAGGGGTTCTCTCCAGGCAAACACTGCCATAACTATGAAAAAGTTCCCCTGTCATATGCACTTAAGAACTAAAATAATTACACAAGTTCATTCCCTCGCGCATCGAAGCTCCGCCGTCTCGCGCTGCTCTTTCATTAGCCGTAGAGGTACATAGATCACCTTTGTAAATTACAATATCGAGCTGCTTGTCGATGCCAAATTACTTTAAAAGTCAGGAGAAAAGTATAAAGTCTTTACCAACCCAATAACACGCTCGTTCTAATTTCCCATCTCCTCTCTTACAGATTCCTTCGTGGCGCTGAACGGTGAGTAGCCTGCATATACTGTCTGGAGCCAATCACATAAAAACCCTGGGATCTATTTCATGTCCCTTTAGTCTTTAACTCGGCCACACCCTTTCATCTCCTCCATCAATCACACGCTCTCCAGGAGATGAGAGCCACACACCCACTTTTGAAATTTACGACGGCATAGATTTAACGAAATGTCTTCTCTTTTCCTCGATAGACAATCCTTCCAGTGACGAAGGTAATCAAAGTCTCTGTGTAGCGTCCCCTAAGTAGAAGCTTACCTTATTCTGTCTTCGTGATGTAGCTTGGTCCCTTCCCCTTGTGCTCCCTGTGTGATAGCATCGATTAGCCCATGACCTTTAGAAAGCTAATTGGATGGATCTGGTGGCTGGCGGTTCAAAGGTTTTGTTGGTGGTTTGTCCCAGCCCCGCGAGCGCGTTAAAGCAAACGAGAAGCATTCCGCTCACCTGCTGTATTTTGAAGATATGAAAAGTGCTGCAAATTGTGAAAGGGTTATTTGACTGATTAAAAGCTGGGGGCATGTAACTTGTTTTGTTTCATAAATATCACATGTTGTTTGCCCCCAACAGAAGGAGTCTTGTAAACGAATAATGTGGTGAACTAATCAGATTGCAACATGCATCTTTATCTTATTAGAATTTTTTTTGCATACTAGTAAAAAAAAAAAAATGTCCCATAAGTTACTATTGGATGCTTTTGGCTGAGAGCTGATGACGTCCCAATCTAGGAAATTGCCTTCGCTCTCACTGCAAACAAGATATAAAAGTGAAAACAGAATAAGGCATGCATAAAAGGAAATACAAATATCTGCATAACATTTCTTAAAATTATTACTATATACAAGTGCACGCAATAGACATTTCACTTTTATGTCTGAAAAAGCTGATCTAAAGACAAAAAAGAGGCCAAAGAATGCATGTGATTGTGGTAGAACCAAACTAGTTCTACCAACTAGTTTGATGGATTTTATTACATGGTTAAATATGTTGTGGCCAGAAAGTCAGATACCCCAGCTTTAAATAACTACGATTGCATTGATGTATTTAATTCCTTTAGTGTAATATATCACCAGCACTTAAAGCTGCAGTAACTGACTTTGGGATTTTGAAGCCGCGGACCCGCTGGCCTCTCTCTTTCTGCTCCCCTCCCCGCACCCATGAAGCTATCGCCCCCACACACACTCACTGTTGGGACGGAGCTAGCGTCTCCCAATATGGATAATACATGGACATGGATTTGCACGTGAATGGCGTGACCATAGAACGATAGAACCGGGAAGCGCGGAGGAACAGGACTTTCTTTTGGATGGCTGTTTCGCTGAGTAAGCAGTAACCGGTGACGAAGACACACAAAGCTTCAGGTTACCTCCGCCGCTTGTTGTGCTAACCCAGCCGTCTGTGCTAACAGACCTGTAGATTTCTCACAAAAGTGGGGGCTATTGGTGCGCTGTGATTGGTCTCAATCTGCGACCCGAAACACATTCTCTTCCTTGTTTCATCAAAACTCTATCTAAAATATAATGTCACGCCAGCACAAACCTGCCCTACTTTTTCTTCAAAAGGACGTATATCCCAATGCACTACATGGACATGGATAGCATTTCCGTAATGAATACGAAAATAAAGTCAGTTAGTGCAGCTTTAAGTCATTTGAATTTCTATGAAAATTGTGATTACCAGATGAAGACGTTTCATTGAAGATCCAACTTTAGGGAATGAATTATACACAACAAGTTTTTACAAAGATGCCCAAACAATTCACCAACATAGACGTTTCTATACCAAAGTACAGCTGCAAAACTCTCTTCGAAACTTCTCTAATCACGACGCACAATGGCACAATCACGCCTTCCTGAGTGACGCCATTTTTCCCACTGCTTTTTAAGAACAATCATCGGATGTGATTAACCCCCTGCAATGTCTTTACCGGCGCCTTCCACTCTCTTTTGCCTAATTAGTGTCAGACCCCAGTGAGCCACCAGATCAAACCAGTCACATCCATATGCAACCGAGAGTTTATAGTTTGATCCAGAAAGGCCTGTTGCAGCCCTCGGTTTCCCTCCATGCACCCTGCAGATGTCCCCCCCACAGAGCTCTCCTCTTCCCATGTGGAGATCCAGGGTCACAGAAGTAGCAGCTGTGGTGGTGCGATCCCCCGTAGGGATGAATATGCACCACACAAATACACATGGGGCGGACAAAATTTTCATTTGTGGACATTATTCTGCCTCTGAAAACAGCGCCATCCTTGATATGGTGATTGACAAAATGGAGTGAAAAATAATAAAAGCATATTGGAGATGAACGATTAATATAAAAAGCTTAGTTCAAAAGACAAAAAGAATAAGTTGGTGCCATTATTCATGTATTATCAATAGTGCTTTATAATCTGTTTTTCATTCAGTCGTTGAATTCTATGTTCCGCTTATGTTCAGAAAGTTGAGAAACGTTTGTATTTCAAGTTTAAAATCGCAGATGCTACACTTTCAGTAAAGACAATTACAGGAATTAAGACAGGAAGTAGAAAGAATCCATCCTGCTTCACTTCTAGAGACTGCATAATCTTTTATAAAGTTGAGCTGAAGTGGCCAAAATATCATGCTGTGAATATATATCATGTCCTGTTAATTTAGACCATACGATTGACTTCTCTCTCATATATTTCAATAGAAAAGCTTAATAAGTCAACTTTTTGATTTCATTTCAACTGTTTACATCATGCTCCTAGACGTAACTTAGTCAACAGCTCTGTTCATGCCAGCACCGATCCACACCAAAGGCACTGAAACCCAAGAGCCTATATCGCAGTCAAAGGCCTGTCAGAATTGAGGGAAAAAAACTGAAAAAAAACTAAATGTGTTGATTGATGTCAAAAACTTGCGACATAGCTAGCTCATGAGCACTCCCACGTGTTCCAGGAGTAGACCCACCCTATCTGCTATCATTGAAGTTTTATTTAAGTTGACCGAACAGTAGCTCAGTTGGTAGAGCATTGGCCTTTGAGCCTGAAGGTCGTGGGTTTGAGCCCACCATAAGACCTACTTCACGACTCCCACTGATGACTGCTTTCGTTGTGTCCTTGGGCAAGACACTTAACCCCACTTTGCCTGAAGCCCCCACTGAAAGATCTCAGCTCCTGTGGACTCACCACCTGCAGGAGGATCAGTGAGGGGCTGTTGCTGAGTGTACTGGGTGCAGCTCTGACTGCCACCCCCCCCCCCCCCGACCCAGAAATGGATGAAGGGGAAGAAAATGGATGGATGGATGAAAATTTGTATTTGCTTACAACTTAAGTTAGTACGTCATCATTATCAGTCATATTCAACATGTTATATCTGATGTGTTAGACGCGATGTTTAGTTGAGTTTCTGTAGTTTTTTGCATACAAAATTGGGATGTTGATATACACACTGCATGATTTTATTTAACTTTTATTTGCATACATGTAGGAATAGCAGGATTCAGTTTTTAGGGTTAGGGTTGGGACAGAGGGTGGGCTTGTTTTAGCCTTAGAGCCTATGGGTACTTTAAAGTTACCCCGACCATACCACTCGGTACTTATTCCACAGAACCATCAACATTTCCCCGCTGTGGGACATTTAAAGGATTATCTTATCATATATTATCTTATTTGCATCTAAGCTTTGGTGCCTTGTCTTTGGCTTCTCCTGCTTCCCAGCCTTGAAGATACAGGTCAGAAAAACAGCAGCTGTGTTTGGAGCTCTTCCCCCTTCGCTCTGAATCATCTCCCACAAACTCACTCACACTAATAACAGCACCCACAGCACCCTGAGCCAGCCAGTGCCCCAGCCCGACGGCCTATCTGCTGGTAGTAGATATGCATTAGAAGATAAGCAAAAGCCTCGTTTCTATTCTCCGCTCCCCTACTCAGACTACTCTTTTAATCTGTGGAAAGAGAAGGATGTGCCTCCGTCTGCAGTTTAGGGCCTTTTTCCCCTCCCTCCCACCATCCCCATGATCCACACAGGGGCTCCGAGGCTCTCTCTATGTGTGTCATCTGCCTGGATTGCACTTCCCCTGGCGGTGAGGGAATGAATTATAAAATAGGCCTGTCACACTAATCTCTCAGCCCTGGGCCAATAGTTAAATAAATCATTTTAATGATTGCCACGCCACGCGGAGGAGAGGGTGGAGCTGGCTGGTGCGGCCCGTGCTTGTGTGTGTTGCCTCTATAAGACTCCCAGCTGAATCTGGGTTTGGCCCGTGAAATACCACCACCCCCTTTTTCTTCAAACACATCTGCAAGCACTGTCACTTCCTCCGCGGAGAGAGAGGCCTCAAATGGGAATCCGCAAAGACTGTTGATAAAAGCATTGCCAGTCTTCTTAGAGATTCCTCGTCTTAAATATGAGGTTTAAATACATTATACTGAATGCATCCAGTCTGTGCAAAGATTATGCGGGAGGGCTCGTGTGGGGGGCTAATGCGATTAGCCCAGTCTGAAAATAAACAGTGACAGAAAGCAAAACATTTGATTTAGAAGTAGAAATGAACGGCAGAGACAGTGAGAAGTTCATTGAATGTGCAGATCTAGATACATATTTCACCTTTTATAGCAGTGCACTCTTTATCCCTGTAGCTTTGTCTAGAGTTAAATTTAGAGTCTTGCCTGTTTGGGTCACTCTATTGTACCCAAACATCTACTGATGGAATGTGGCACGGTGGTTAATCCGGTAATCTAAACTCTAAACTCTGGTAAACTCTGGTAATCTAAACTCTAAACTCTAAAACAAGCATGTCTTGAGTGCTCTGTTTCACCTACCACCAATAGTCTTGCATAATCTACATTTATTTATAAATGTAGATTATGTAGATAATATAATGTAGATGATAAATATAATAAATATATTTTAAAAAGTCCCTCCCCTTGGAATAATCATCCCCAGTGAGATTTTCTGGAAGAGAAGAGTTAGACCAATGGTGAGGGTCATCATCTGTCTATCAAGGATTTGAATGCATTACGTCCAATCAGGAACCTGTGGGGGCGGGTCTAATGTCTCTCCATCGTCACAATTTTGAAAAGTAACTGACCGTCACTTTAAGAAAATAAAAATCATGTTAAGTATAGTTTAACGTGGATAAACATTAAATTTTATCCAAAATAAAACTGAGCTACCGACAGTAGCTCAGTTGGGCAAGACACTTAACCCCACTTTGCCCAAAGCCCCCACTGAAAGATCAAGGCTATGCTCACACTCAGAGAGCAGCCGTCCTCCTGTGGACTCACCACGTCAGTGAGGGGCTGGTGCTATGAGACTTGGGTGGCATCTCTGACTGTCACCCCCCTGACCCAGAAATGGATTAAAGGGTAGAAAATGGATGGATGTATGTTAAGTATAGTTTAAATTGATTGGACAAATTATCTTCACATCCAAATGAGCAGAATATCTACTTTGCCTCGTGAATGTTTTCTATACAGCAACCTGGCTTCCCACAAACATCTTCTTGCACACAGATATCTCTTATGAAGTAAAAATTCACAAACAAAAACAATATGTTGAGGTGTTCCTGAATTAGTGCGGCCAAAAACTCACTTACAATGAGTGCATATGACATATTTTTACTTATTTGTATTTATTTAGGACCGCCATAGTCCCAAGCAAAGCAGAGATATCTCTTCCTGGGGTCCATTTTATCCATTTTGTATTTTTTCCAATGCAAATGCGCAGGTGCATGTCATTTAAATTGAGTTTTTAATCATTTCCCCATTTGCGACTGTGTTGCGTCCAATCCTCCAAAGTTGGCCACCAGTACATTTTACCATTATGAGATTTAATTACATCGCAATGGCAGAAAATTCATTAACTCGTAATTGCACCTCGCACATGATTGATCCAGCCGTTGTGCTAAGGGACAATATGGATACTTTTGGGATCCGATCTGGTTGATAAAGCAGTGTGTGGTATGAGCGATGATGAGCAAGTGAGAAATTAAGAATAGCTGCTTGGCGATAAGACGGAGGAGAGAGAAGAAGGGAGACAGCTTGAATGATTAGTCCTGTTAATCAGATTTTTGGGAGAAGAATGACTTTCTGTTGAATAAAAGTGAATAACAGATGGAACAAAAAGAAATTAGATCCATCCACACAATTGCAACAAGTTATTATGCAAATGGCCATCCAGACATTGTGATTTATTCAGTTATATGAACAGAGGGCGAGCAGTTACAACATACTATAACTCCAATCAGACCCACCTGCGTTTGTTTTGTATATAAATTACCAACACACAACCGACCGATACGGTACCTTAAAAGAACAGTGTGGAATATTTCTGGGACATGGAACATAGTGAGATTTTACATGGTTGGATTAAACACCCCATGTTATATTGTTGGATAATAACCAAACTCGAATTCAAATCACAGAACAGCAGCACTCTCCTAACTACCGATCAAGCCTCTCCTGCGTGTCCCTGCAGAGATACAAGAAATAAGATAGTAATTAAAGACGCTGATATGGTTTGCAGAAAAAAAAATGTCAGAATGTGCAAAAAGTCAGTTGAGTGGACTGACAAAATGTGAGCTCTTCTCAAAACAAGTAAAAGAGAGACTGTCAGTACATTCAGAAAGAGAGTTTTTCACAAAGTATAGCTATAGTAAAATCCATGTCATTAGTTACTGGCTCTAAAACAGTTTGGTTCTATCACTAGTCTTCACATGCATGTATTTTTAGAGAGTATCTATGAATAAATTAGATAGTGAGTCACAGGGCTCTCTCTTAAAAGTATGCAAATGTGTTTTATAATATGAAGACTGCATTAAGGTCTGATCTGTGACTGTCTTTCTGATGGAAGATGTTAAAAAATGTTGGTGTCCCAGCTTTTTATCTACTGTATATAGATAACATATGATAACAATATATTTGCTTTTGATAGATGTACTATACTTTTATGTTTTATATTTCACAGATTTTTTTAAAACTATAGTCATTGCTGTAATTTAATCTACTTTGTACTGACCAGCAATCGACCTGTTTTTGGACATGGAATTTTGAACCCACTTCAATCGAATTCAGAATTGTCCATGTGCACCATATGAAACTACTTGATACAATGGAATAGAAGTCAGAAGTTCTGCAATCATTGAAGTTATCAAAATGTGAAAGTCCCATATAGCTTCATGTCGCACTATATCACACCTTTCGCTGCCAGACAATACGGGTCAATGAGCGTCCATAACAAATCCTGCAGCGTGGAATCAGAATTGAAACTCGCCGCTGCAGAAAAGTTTGTGACAGGAGACATGAGCAAACCAAAGAAAGTGAAGTCTCTTGTCCTTCATTTCAAAGGTATACTCCCTGCTGTGATGGAGAAGAGAGCTGTGGCAGGCCCCGAGGAGCTTTGACACATCAGTTTGAACAAGACAGAGGCGAGGGGAAGAGTGGAGAGGGGACACATCCATCTTAGGAAATGTGTAAAGACAGACTCGTTTGCTAATGACCGGCCTTGGGTCTTTGCGGATACAGATTGTGAATCACAGAGTCCGGCAGCTGGTGCAGTGTGTCACCCACATGAGATTCGTGTTTGACTGTTGACAAGAACAGGACAACAATTCTGGTGTGAGCTGGCCGTGGTGCTGAAGTGTTGACAGCGATCAGAGATGGAGTCAAATATTTGAGGCAATCCACTTTCCATTTTTAGACAGGGGCAGTGGTGCAGTCTTTGCTTCCTCAACCAGAAAGTCTCTTCTTCAAATTTCAGGAAAATTCATAATCTACTGTTGAATTTTGGTTTCCCAGGGGCTGAGCGTTTAGCATTTTCGCTTCTCCGCAAGGATGTCCTTCGATTCCATCTGTTCGATTCCAGTTTGCATGTTCTCTCTGTGTCTGCATATGTTTCCTTCAGGTGCTCTGGTTTCCCCTACCACTAAAAACATGTACAATAACTCTCCTCTCTCTGAGGCCTGGATTCCCCTGAAATGGGGATTCTTTAATATCAGTGGGACTTTCCTGGTTAGATAAATGTCAATGATAACTAGTTTGGATCTATTATAATCAGCTTGAGCATATGTTGTGGCTGTCTGCGGATCCACCACCAAGCACATGTAATGCAAAAATGACAAAAAGGAATGGCACAAATTAGGCTAACATTGCCAATAGAATGAATTTGGGAAAAAATACTACCCTTGTAATATTCCTGGTTCATTTATGCCATTAGGAAGATCAACTTGATCCTAGTATTTACAACACACCACCAGTAAAGTAACATACAGTAATGTACCCTCGATGAATCATCTCAATTTGCCCAACAAATGGCAGATTTTGCAGTTAGATTTGTTCCTTTGAGCAAAGGAACAAATCTAACCCTAACCCTAACCCTAACCCTTCTGATTAGACTTTTCCTGAACTGTCCTGGTGGTGGGCCTGGATATGGACATGGTTTCTCACTAAATGTTCCTTTTACATTGGAAAAAAATATATAACTTCACTCCACTAAGTTAGAAGTTTTCTGTGAAGATGCTTTTACAGTAAAAATTCAGTTTTTTTTAAGCACTGAAATCATCCATAGTTGAGCAAACTGAGCAAAGCAAAAACATATCTATCAAGAGCAGCATGTAAACGGGTCCCCACCAGGACAGTTTGCTCCTTAAAACATCTTCTCCCCTTTTCTGTCTGTTTCCCTCCCTCCGTTTAACCTGTGTTGTGTCCTTCAGGCCACCATCACCAGCACCATCACTACTCCATGTCCATGCCCACCTCGGCCCTACCCGAGGCCGCCGAGGGGCCCCTGGGGCGGGGCCGCATGGTGGAGAGGAAGGACCCCCCCCTCCTGAGCTCAGACAAAGTAGAGGAGCCGTACTTGGCCGTGCCCTCTCAGACGCAGCCCGAAGCCAATGGTAAGCCTTGGAACGCCACCGCACAGGTTCAGCCCTGAGTCACCTGTGGCGGCCGGGGGGTGGGTTTAATGGAGATTTACGACTGCCTGACTGCTTCCAGCTGATGAGGTGTGCACATGCTCCAGCGCGCTCTCTCCAGGGGACAAACCGTCTCACACTGAGCTCGTAAACCCCCTACCGTGGAGTGTGTAAATACACCTCCACTCTGTGTGCATAGAAGACACGCTACATACGCTGATTTATGCTGGCTTTATGTATGGAAATAGAGCTGTCCTTTCAACACCGGGATTGTCACGGCCCTCGTAGGTGTATTTATTGTTCAGATTGATAGGGGCGTTTAAAAACAACTCTAAGGGGTGTTGCTTTTAGTTTCAAATATATATCAAAGGGAGTACAGTAGGGAAAAGCCGGATAGATGCAGGTAGGAAGTTATAGTGCATAATGGCATGTTTGCATGGAGGCTTGCATTCATGTTGTCAGTCATTCAGAGTGGCTCTTTGATTGTAGCGTGTCCCTGTTGGGCTTCCATAACTGTTGAGCTAATACGACATCTGGAATTGCAACAGGCGCATTTGCCATTCAACTCGAGCAGTGCCTTTGTTCAATGGAGCAGGTGAAAATTATGATCAGAGTTTTGATAGTCAATAACAAGTAAAGCACTACAGAAAGTCTTTGGCGCTCTTTTCGGAATAACCTTTTAAATCAGGACTAAGATACGAGAAAAGAAAAGAAAAGAAAAAGGCACTATTGATGCATTTATGTTTCTATTGGAATCTATTGAAGATTAATGGTTATTAAAGTTATATATATTTAATAATTTTTTATCTCAAAAAGGGAAAGAAAAAAATCAATATTACAAAATAAAAATAAATATTGTATCTATTTTTTTTAGAATTGGCATATATATATCTGAAAGATCCAATATTTTTAGCACACTCCTAATGGGTTCAACAAAATTATTCACCCAAGATCTTCCATCAACCTACTTTTATAAACGTCCATGCATAGATTTATGTGAGACACTGCTACTTCAAAAGTAATTTTCTCAAATAACACCTACAGTCCATCACCAAAAGGCCAATTTTTTTAAACTACATAATGACATGTATGGATTTTCTGATAGTCACATTGAACGCCTTATTGCTTATTATGTTAAGTTATATTTAAAACATGAGGCACGTCTAGTTCATGTAATTACTAAACATCAAACCAAATCCAGTATTTCTAGATGAACATCTGTAAACACACTAGACCAGCTCGTCTCCTCAGTCTCCTGCATCATCGTGGTCCAACTATTAAAGTACACGGGCAGACAATCTGGGCGCAGACATTGGACATTAGGCTCCATCTGTGTGAGTGCATAAATAGACCTGAACACAGCCTTTTACACGCACACGCGCACACACACACACGTTAGCACACCTACACACACACATACACAAAGTGAGAGAGGATTTATTATCCCTGGGCCATAGCGTCCCACAGGAGATGTAATATCCAGCCCATTACACTCTGAAAAGGAGGATGGCTGCGTATTTATTTCCTGAAGAAGGCTGCTCTATCATGCCCTGCGACACGGTGACATGACATTGAACGCCCTTTTTCGCGTCCCGTGTTAACAACCTGCCTAATGCCACGACGGCGCTCCAAGGACTCTGCTCGGGACGAATGAAAACGCATAGATACAGGCCAGAGGGAATGGGGGGAGGGGCATAGGTGTGCGCGGGGAAGAAGGTCAGTGGGGGAACCGCTAGCCCATGTTGTGTCCCACTATAAAAAGTAATGGCTCTATAACCAATCCTAATAAAAACAACATGCCGTCGCTACAATATGGAGTTTTAAGAGGCCTGTCACCGCGGCCTTGAGGAGATATCGATTATTAATAAGAGTGATTCATCATAAGACGTGGAAGTAAATAAAGCAGACGGACGGGTGGAAGGGCAGCTAATGAGCCCAGGGAGCGGTTATGCACTCTAATTCTGCTTATTATTAGATTCACCTTTCCCTGAATAGAATATCTGTGGAATGTATCGAAGGCAGCACCTGTTTGACTGGCAGAGCAAATGAATTGTAAAATAGCTGTAACAGGTGGGTTAAGAGTTGGGATGTTCTGATACCGGGATCAGTCAAAAGGTACCATACTAGACTTGGTTCAGATATCAGTGATGGCAAGTAGTTGGACTACCGGACCATCTGCATATTATGGAGTCACTTAGACTTAAATTTTTGCAGACTCGCTCAAAGAAACCAAATTTCAAGTAACTTTAAGTAAGCTTAACATGTATAAATGACTTTCATTTCTAAATTAAATTCATATTCTTATAGTGTCTAACGTAATGACACAATATTTGAGTAACAGGCTGATTATGGCATTGACACCTCCTATAGGCCCAAATGTTAGTATTGGATCGGATCCCAAAAGAAAGCTATCAGAACATCCTTTTCGTCAGTGGAATGCAAAAACTAAGTCTCTTGTGTTTGGCCAAACGTTGACTTAGATCTGAAATGACAGTTTATACTTTTATATCTCTCATTCTCTACATGTAGAGTCTGTCATTGTTAATAACCACACTTCAGATTCGAAATTAGCGTTTGAAAACTGTCGCTGACGTATAAAACACTGTGCTGATCTTCTACCGGCGAGTGACACCCAATATGAAATCCCAAAAATTGGACTTTATGTAGAGTGGGCTGGAAGCAGTGAGGCAGCAGTAGGTGGATCTCTGGCACAGTGGTGGCAGACTCTGGACAGCATGCACACACCACATCACAACATGCTGTCATTTCTGTTGCTTTTACCTGAGCAGGTGGAACGAGCACATTTTAAATAGGACGAGTAACTGGGAATAGCAAAAAACGAAAGGCACAAACGCACATTAAAATCTCACTTACTGTGCGAGACTTAAAATCATCGCACAAATATGGAAAGTAAGTCATGTCATATTTGCTCCAAACGCTCAGGTAATCTCAACAATTAAATCTCAAATCTTTGCTCTGAATCATGGTTTGATTATGATTTGTTAAGACACTTTCTTTGCTGGTTGTTTTAATTTCTCTTTTGTAAGCTGTTTTGAGAATATTTTGCATGGCTTAGTGTGAGAAGACTTCTTTTGCAATTTATATAATTTCCTTTGCCGCGACTGCTTTGATGGTATTAAGCACCATTTTGCTTCTTCCTTGCAGCTTCTTGATGCTTTTCGGCATGGCTAATCGTGCACCGCTACTCAAACGGCGCTCCTTCTCTTGCTCCACCCATCCTTCCTTTCTTCCTTCCTCCTCTCGTCTTCCTATGCTTTTTGGCTTGAGGTGTCAACTGTACTGTGGAAACTTTTGCCCAATGCGTGACAGTCAAAAATGGCAAACTAAATCTTATAGTGAGCTATGACAGAAGCAAAGTGCATTTGTAAACGAAGGCTAAAGCATTTTGAACACCTCAATTATAGTTTTATGAAGTACATGAATCAATATTGTGCTAAAGCTAATCAGGAACCATAACATTTAATCCTGTTTGTGCTAATTATTTATCATTTCAGTTGTATCCACTGGTATCTTTTGCCAATCCTCTATTAATCTTCCAAATAAATTAATTGTATTTATGAAGTTCACTCAAATTTTGTCATTTCTAGATGGATTCTTATCTGGCTAATTGCTATCATTGTGTTGCTAATATGCATCAGTCCGTCTTAGTGGCTGCTAGTGCTGCTAAGTGATGAGAGTTTGCACATGGGCGATATTTAGCACTCGTATGTGTCATTAAGGGCATTCCAGAGAAGCAGTGCGGGTTACCAGGTGGCCTCATGTTTCACAGTACATTTGAGCTCACTGTTTGTGTCTGTGCATCTCATTCCAAAGGCGTGATTCATCCAGAGCTGGTCAAACCTTAGATTTAGATTATTATCATTATTAGTATTTATTATTAGTAGTATTTAATATTATTATTCGATCGTATAGCTTTTTATAATGCACAGTGCTAGGGCGAAATGGAATTCATATCCTGAGAATATGTATTGTGTCCTTGGGCAAGACACTTAATCCCACTTTGCCTAAAGCCCCCACTGAAAGATCTCAGCTCCTGTGGACTCACCACCTGCAGGAGGATCAGTGAGGGGCTGGTGCTATGTGTACTGGGTGCAGCTCTGACTGCCACCCCCCCCAACCCAGAAATGGATTAAGGGGAAAAAAATGGATGGATGGATGGAATACTTTTTTTTTTGGGGTGTTCTTTTATCCAAAGAACAGTTTATTGATTTCAGATGCACCCACCTGCACCATAGTTTTTTCTTTGAGTGGTATGAAAAGTGTAATTTTAGGCTTCAAATGGTCTGAAAGCACATAAAACATAAACTTTTAGCGGTGCATGTGGATGTGTTGTACTATTTTAAATGTAAAATAATGAAAAAACATAGAAAAGGTGCAAAATAAAATAAAAATTAAAACCATTGCTTCACATTGTTACACTATACTGTTACGCACAAGAGAATAAAATCCAATATTTCAAGTGTTCTTATTTATTAGTGAAGAAACATAACAACAAAATATTTTGGGGTCTTTTACAATAAGACTAAATATTGGACCTTAAAACTATTGTCCTCTGTGGCTCTGTTTTCAATATAAGTAAGAATAATGTGTGCAAAATATTATTTTTTACTTTGCAAGAAATATGACCCAGTTATAGTATTATAATCCTATAATCGTATTCAACATTGTAGTATTGGGTATTCAACAGATGATTTATAGCAGGCAATTAGCCCAGATTTGATAATTTCACGGTTAGTTAAACTGACAGCGATTGGACGCGCTCTTTGGAATGACCATTGCTTGTTTTGCCTGTTTGCTTTCAATTCCTCCACATTTTGATCTCCTTCACTCCATGGCAATCACACGCATCACTCCATTGACTCCCAACGACCTCTCCCCTGGTCTCTCTCCACCTGCTGCCATTGTGGTCCGCCTCACCCTCCACTGCAGGACTGAGACGGCATGTTCCAAGGCTAACCCAG